TAGTGGCTCTACCTTCCCACCACCACAGTTTGGGTCAGGGCAAGAGGCAGGTCAACAGACAGGTTACACTGTGAGAAGGGAGAAGCAACTCCAGGGGCCCCCTACTGGCTTCTGGGCTTATTGCCCACTTATGAGTCAAGTGCCCAGCCATGTCTGCCCTTGACACCAGCCCTGACTCCAAGAATGGGTCCTTATGCAGCCAAATCTGCTCCATCCATCCATAAGGAGGGGGGTCAGCAGGCTCAGGGGGCTTTCAGAAGTATGCACATATAAGCATACCCCCCCCCCCTTGCTGGAGCCCAAACAATTCAAGGAGGTCAGACCACAATCAGTGAATAGGCACAACATGCTTACTGTTTCAGAGAAGAAACCAGTGAAGATGGAACACAGGGGAGTACCCTGGAAAAGGGTACAAATGCCTCTGGCTATGGGGTGGCATACAAATGAAATAAATTTAAAAAAACACATGGCTGGCTTGTTAGAACCTATACCTGGAGCACTCCATGTGGGAACATTTTGTTGCACAAAACACTTCTCCATTACATAGCACATAAACCTCTAACTGTTTGGCTTCCTGATAGCTGCAGCATATTGAATTAAGTTCTTCAATTATTCCTCCAGCATCTTTTTTTCTGCAGTGCTAATAATTAATTCAGTACCTAAATGTTATGGAACTGGTATCATTTCCACCTGTGCACCAGCAGTCCTGACAATTAGGTCAGCCTCTATTAGCAGTGATTAATATCACCCCAAAGAGCTGTTAAACACTGGTTAAAATTGATGAGAAATGACAAGGAAAAGCTGATATGTAGCATCTGTCATAGATCTCTCATCTCTAATTGCTGTGTTTTTGTTTTTTTTGACAAGTGGCTGAACTAGGAACAGTGAGTACCAGAAGACGCATGACAGAGTGAAAGGGCTGGGCTGGGATATGCATCAAGAGCATGGGAAGGCGAATGAACATCATTCCCAGAGCTGCTAAACTGGACTCTGATCACTCATCATCCCAATCACCTGCCAGAAAATATTGTAAAACTGGTGTAATTCTGGATGCCTCAGATACTGCAAGTCACCTGGTAGCAAGATTGTACAGTGAATATTTGACAAAGCACAAGCCAGAATGACAGGGGAAGGAGAGACCCAGTCTGCCAGCTGATGAGACACATCTCAGCTGGTTTTTCATATTGCTCATCCATGGCTGACTCTCAAATCTCAAGCCTGGACCAAGACATTTTGCTGCCTGAGGTGAAAGACAAAATGGCAGCCCTCCAACTCTGTGTCAGACGCTGGGCAGACTGGCCCTCCAGTCTTATTTCAATGCTTGGGTAAGAAAGGCATCCTCTCCTGCACCAGGAGGGACAAGGCTTGTTAAGCTGCCAACCACCTCTCTCTGCTTTGTGTATTCACAGCACTGAGATCCGAGTGCCCCACACAGAGCATTTCTTTTCCTGCTTTTCCACTACATAACCTCCCCCCCCCAGATGACACTGTGGTGTAGCAGAACAGCACAATTGGAAACGGTGATGCCATGCCCTTTCACAATTAAGTACCATATTTGCTTTTTTAAAAACTTGCTGAGAGTGCTGCTGAAAAAAACTTACAGAAAACAATGATTTTGGAGGGCCCTGGTGTTGTCTAAAGAACTGGAAAACAACCATGAGTAGAAAATGATGAGGGAAGGATAAATGCCTTGTGTAGAAAAGGATGCTCTCATCCAGCATCTCACCATCCTTCCTCATGCACACCCCCTGCCAGCATCTGCTGCCTGAAGCAGCCACCTTGCCCTGCCGAATGGGAAAGCTGTCCTCACCGCCACTGGACAAAAAGAGTGTCAGGTTCACTGCAGGTTCGCTCACGGATTCCAGAAAGGCTTGTGTCTGCAATATTTTCTTTCTTGCAGAGAGTTCTGTTCCACCTCTCCTGTCATTCAAAGCTCACAACAAAACTGATCATCAAAAAGGGTTTGCACATTGCTATTGCCATTCTTGGTGCCTGAAGAGCCATTTGTTCCAGAAGTGGCCTCCATAGCTCACAAGCCAATTCTGTTTTAGAATTTGTTACAGTTCTGCTTGTCAAAGAGTCTGCTGAGCAGTAGACAAGCCTGGGTTGCAAATAATTCAGAAAATGGGCATCTCATCAAGATATGAGATAAGACAAAGGGCATCTATTTGTGATGGAAAACCAGTTGGATTAGGAAGGAGAGACTGATAGTCCAAAGCCTGCTATAGTTTAGCAATGATAGGCCCAAAGACCACTACTCAGGTTGCTGGGATTTGACCCAGACCAATTGCTGACCCTTAATATAACTAGTTCTATAAAAAGAATTAGAACATATTGATTCCACAGAATGTATTTATTTCTTTTACTTGTGCCCTGATTTTCGACCAAAGGTGGCACCCACAGCGGAATGAAATACACAGGGGTATGTCTTCAGTAGCTAACCCCTAGGAACTTCCAGATTTCATTAAATCCATTGTATAAATTTATAAATTCATTATATAAATTTTATACTTGGGGGTCTGGACTTCTGCCATTCTGAATCCCTGTACAGCCAGGAAAGTTGTAGGGACTTCATTAAAAAATAAAACATATACTCTGCTCACTCTGTAAAAGCAAGATGGCTGCAAACATCCAGGCTTAGTACAGGATGGGCTTGAATGCTATCGTTCAAAACTGCCTTTTCCAGCAAGAGAGAGAAATAAGCAAGCATCTGCCTAACTATAAAACAGCAGATTTTGTTTGGAGGAGGCAGGAGAGCCCCTCCGTGGCATCCTTGCACAGCTACGGTCTGTTTTGCTTTGCTTCCTCTGTTCTTTGACTTAAAGGAAATCATGAAACTTGAAAGGACTGAACACTAGTGACTTCCTACTGTTAGAAAAACAAGAAAGGAACTGAACCACAGCTTCAAGAATTCTATTCACTCTCTCATCATTATTTTCACCTTGTCAAGAACAAAATACATGCACAAATGCTGTCTATAATTGTTTCATAATCTTCCTTGGGACTAAAAGAATGTTTCCCCCTTGTTCTCATAAAATGTACTGCACTTTGTAATACTTCACAGTGATTGCTATATTTACTTAGTATTCAAGGAAGAAACAAAACACTGACTACCCTGGAGACAATAACTTGTTTCAGATAACACATTTTGCCCCAGAGATCCTGCACTGGAGAAAGGAGCTTCCGAGTGCTGGAGAATACACCCTCCAAGATGAGCATGCGCATGGCCTTGACTTATCTCACAAGTTACTGTGTGGGCTTTATTTTAAAAAATCTTGCTATGAGTGAAAAAGTAGGGCTGCTTGCTTGGCAATGCTTAGCATTGGTATGAAGCGAGGGTCTGAGACTTCACACGCCACCCTACCTGGATTATGTCTCCCCACAGCACACTAGATCTTTGCTGATATACTGTGGTAGCTCCATTTTGAGGGAAATGCCCTCTAAACATTCAATACAGGCAGTCTTCTTAAAAAAAAAAAAAGTAACTCAAGTGTTTGAAATTATAGCACTTAAAAAGAGGTAAAGACTGGAGAGATCCAGCATGTCACACTTTGTAATAGATTTAAAAATCATTTTAGTTACAGTGCAATCCTATGCATGTTCTTTCAAAGTTAAGTCCCACTGCATTTAATGGGACTTTACACATTCCTGAGCACATTTTTAGCATGTCAGCTTTAACCAAAAAATAACACAATTTAACCTACAGGCTACAACCCAAAGTCATATTTGCAAGCAGTGAGTCATGCATAATCACTAGTAGCTCCAAAGGATCACAAACATGCCCAGATGCACCAGTCACAAGGTATGAATGCACAGTCTGCTGCAGATAGAAATACACATCCAAATGCTAACTGGCCTGGCTTGAGTATAATGATCAACTATGGTTTATTATTATGTCTAAATTGCAAATTGTGGTTAATGCCAGCTAGGTTTTTAGAGGAACAAACCGCTTGATAAAGCATTCAGTGATGTTGGTTTGTTTCAGTAAAGCACAGGGTGCTTTGAGACAGAGGACTGCTAGTCAAAAACATTATGCAGCTATTCCAAGTTTTCCTCCCTGTTAAATTTCCTTTGGTCAGAAAAATAAAGATAGGCGATGCGGTGGGGAAATCTGGTTTACAGATGAAAAACATGACCAGGACCACCTGTAAGATTCCATGAATGAGGCACGAGGATTACCTTGAGGAGGAGGAACAAGTCTTGCCTCCATGATTCAGAGTATTTCACCGGTTTAAGCATTTCAAGAAATAATAACATGAGCACAAAAATAACAACACAATAATAACACAATAACAACAACAACTAATGTTCACTAATACCAGCTTGCAATCAACGCAATTTGCTGAAGAATTGTAATCGCACATAACAGGACTCTTAGTCTGAACATCACAGCTCCCTGCTAGTTTGATATTGCTTTTCAAAAGAAAAACAAAAGAAAATTAAAAATCCACACAAGTAGGATACTAAAATTAACACAGAAAGGTTTGTTAATCTATTTGTTTCTATATCACCTCTAAAGAGTATACAGCCCTCTCAAGGCAAGTTACAAAATAAAATGATTTATAAGAAAAGTGGATCAAATTAAAGCAATACAAAATAATCACAATATCGTATAATAAAACAAAACCCAACAATGCAAGATTTTCCCACCAGACAAGGCCTACAGTATAGCGTATTAAAAACAAGAACCACTTCACTGGAATGAGTTACAGAAGGCATTGCCTCCCTCTATGAAAACCCCGCTTTAGCCACCCTCTTAGAGCTTGAGAATGGTAGAGATTGAGAACATTCCTCTTTGGCCCAACTTCATGGGGTAGGAACCAAATCATGGGGTAGGAACCAAATGATTACAGATGGAAGTCCTCTCTCCCCTGATGCCCTCCCACCTACTAAAGTGACATGAATGGTGAGGAAGGGCAATTGCATAATAAAGAGTTCAACTGGAAACACCCTTCATATTTAACACCTGAGAATGCCGAATCAGTCAAAGAGGTTCCTACCTGTTCATCTCAAGGAAAACTTTCATATTCAGCACATACCATACCAAGACACGTGGAACTACACAAAGAACAGTGGGAGATGCACCTTGGAAACAAGAGGCAGATGATGTTGAGTGGGAAAACTGATGGTGGGGAAAGGCCGAAGCACCTCTGCAGACACCCTGTTCCACTGGAAATGATTACCTTCCAGAACTGTTCTTTATTTAAAAATATCTATTAGAGCATCATTGAATGCACTTGCACAGAACATGCAGTTTGCTCCTGAACTGGCTGCCTGGATGACTCAGTTATGCAAAAATAGTAAACCTCAAGGGGAAAGGAGGAACACTGTTCCTGGAAGTTGGGAAGAGCATTCTGCTACAATGAGCAACATCACTGGGCAGCATTCCAGGAAAAAGGGAGCTGTTGGGTGGAATGGGAGGTAAGCTGAACACTGGGGCATTGTTACCTACACTGACTTTATACACTGACTTAAAACTTGCTTTCATTGCACCCCTTTCTTCTTCCAGCTTTCCCAGAGCCTTTCCTCCACTGGATCTCTTCCTGTCTTGTCTCATTTTGTGATGCTTCATTTTCTCCTTTCCTTTCTGGGTGGAAAAGGTTTGTTTTAAAAAATCTTAGCAAGTTTTTCTTTTATCTTTTTCCCCCTGATTTGACTCCTGGCTTTGATTTCTTCCCTCCCCTCTATCCTCTTTCCTCATTCACATGATCAGTTTCATTATAGTCACAAGTGCCATTACCCAGCCAGATAACCCATCAAATGCAGTCCTGCATTCCATGGAGTCAATATTGCCATGGTAAATGTGTTAGACCACTGCTTTGACTGCACCAAAGGATCCTTTACTAGCAATGGGTGAGGGGCAGTTGCAGGGGCAAGCCCAGGGTTTTTTGGTGTCTGAGGCAAAGGTCAAGATGGTGGCAGCCACTCTCTTTCCATCTACTGAAGCTAATTGGAGAGGTAGGTGAATGAAGCCGAATCCTCCACTCCACCAGAGGCATTTGCCACACTGCAAAATGGGCTGCCCTCACTCTTCCGGTTGATTGAAGGCAAAGATGGCTCAGTGCATGTCTGTTCCTACGGCAGAAAATCTACACTGCTCCTCCTTTCCTTATCCTGGTGCTGAAAGCGAACAAAAAGAATGGACCATTTGATGCCGCTTTCACGATCTCCAAAAATGTGCTGCTGGGGGTATGCTTTGCCCAGCACTGGAGCCAGAATTTCCAGCGGAAGACAAGGTCGCGCACCTTCCATCCTCAGCCAGAAGTACTCGTCCTGCAAGCCCCTACAGAAAGCGTCTTCCCTCATCTCTGAACCCAACTGAACCAAAGCTTCTCCTGCTGGCCATGTGTGGAACTGTTGGGCACACTGGGCTCAGGTGCCAAGGAAAGCATGAAGCACGCAAAAACAATCGGGGATTGACGTTTGCCTGTCAAATCTCTTGGCCACTTGCCACAAGTGGAGGATGCAAAACCAAAATGTGAACATTCAGGTTGGCTCCATTTTGCCCTGACTTTATATTTGTTACATAGGCAGGGGGAGGCTACCAGATATATTCAGTAATAGTTTATGCTGGCCAGGGCCAATGGGAGTTGTAGTCCAAAAGGTCTAGAGAGTATCAGATGGCTTGTCCCTGCAAGAAAGTTTTGTACTGGGTTGTGGGGGGGGGGGAGGAGCACTTATAGTATAGCTACACTCACCTTTGTTTTGAAAGCTTTGTACAAAATTAATCCTTGAACTCCCTAGTAGTTTGACAATATTTGAGCCATCAGCTGATCTTTTTGTTTCTTTGGTTGATCATTCAAATGCCAACTCTTCCGATGACTATCTATCTATTTGTTTATTTATGGCTTTTATAGACCAGCTACTGGCATCTTGGGACAGTTTACAACTTCATACATCTCATAATCAAACACATCCATCCATCAGAGTATCATTATCTGGGTGCCACATTCTTGTTTGACTGCAGGCACACTCAGCCCAAGCTAGAATGAGCATAATAAAATGGAATGCATGAAGAGTATTTTCATAAAAACCAAACAATTTTTATCACAGCACACACAGTGCACAGATAAAGAATTGGGTAGACCTCCTGGCAAAATGCTACACAATAGCTATGCGATCAGGGAGTCTGAAATATAAATAAAATTTAATGAATAGAATATATTGGTAGAAAATTAATTTACACACACACAATTGATCTTTTTGGAAAACATAACAAACAGCCCTGTATCTCTGTCAGTTCCTCCCTCCCTCCATGCCAGACCTACTGTACTGCTTGCAACCTCTCCCTTTTCCCCCATACCCCTAGGAAGCCATCTTTTCATGACCGCAGGATACATATGGCTTGTCCAGCCTTCTTTCATAACTGTAGATTCCCAGGAAGCTCCAAGACAATGAATTAAGCTTTCTTACGCCTGTCCTCCTGGCATAATATTTTGAAGGCTCATGTCACCTCGTCATCACAGACCAGTTCACAAACCAACCAGCCAAATCAGTCTAGTTATTCGAAAAGCTCACTAAGTCTCATGGAAATCAACAAGGAAAAACCATCTTGTTTATCAGGTGGGTCTGTCTTTTGTTATAATACAGCAGATGATCTGAAACAATAATAATTGTAAGAATGATTATCCATCTGAATGGAAGAGAAGGTTTCCATATTGTATGAATAAGCAGTAGCAAAAATCTTTTGCTTCTCCCCACCCTGAACCCCATAAAGCCCCTTCTCGTTGCTCTTCAGAGCCTAATAGAGAGTCTGACAATAGAGCCTAACAAGGACATATAGATTTTTCCAGCAGCAAGACAACGCAAAAACCATTTTAAAATGACTTAAACCCTTGGAAAACAGCTTCAATAAGAAAACACTTTAAAACCAGAGCTAAATGACTAAATAAATAAGGGGGACTCAACACTCAAATTCATTTAGACAATGTACCCTGTTTTTGTTAAGTTTTTCTTGCTTGCTTTCAAACCAGAGACAAATTGAAATCCAAACTTCTTCCTTAGCGTGTAATTCCCTCTATTAATTTATTACCACCTCATCCATTTAGCATTGCCATAGAGTTATTTCAGTGTTGACTCCTAAATTATTTCTTCCTCCAATTTTTTTTCCTTCAAACTTTCTCAGAATTCTCATCACATCCCTCCTGTTTTATGTCCCCATCAATCTGGTTTGGTTAGAATGCTTTCATCCTCTCCTTTGGCCTTTTCAGTAAAATTAAATAAACCAAATTGAACTTTATATTTATTTATTTATTTATTTATTAAAACATTTTTATGCCGCCCCATTCGCCGAAGCCTCGGGGCGGCTTACAACAAAAAATAAAATAACATTTTAAAATACATACAATAAAATACAAATATATAATATAAAACATACACTATAAAACAAGCCGCCCTGGCCAAATAAAATTCAATAATATTAACATTTAAAATACTGCTTAAATAAAAAGGTCTTCGCCTGGCGCCGAAAAACATATATAAACTTATCACCTATCCTATTTATATGGAGAGAGATGAGGTACACCAACCAACAGATTTTGAGATGTGAATTTAGACTGTGGAAAAAGTGGGCCCAGAAAGAGACTAGATTAACATGAATTGTGTTATTGGTAGCTTCTAGGGATCACACGCAAATGGATGTAAAATAACTGTAATAGTTCTACTGCATACATATGTTTTAGTGTCAGATCTCAAAAATGTCTGTCTCTAGCAGCAAAAGTAACAGATAATCTGTTGCAGCACCTCAAAAACATGTTTTTATTATGGTATTAACATCACAGTAATAATGCCCATGCAGTAATAAATGTGTTAGTATTTAAAGGCTTATTTCTCACCCTCAAACTAAAGAGTCATCAAACAATTCAGTGCTAAACTTTTGACAACCCACTGCTCTGAATTTTCTTAATCTGGTTGGGTTCTTGTTGGTTTACCTATCTTAGATGAGTGAGGAAGGTCACCAACACGTCTTTACGGCTTTGGCTGGGAAGTTTCCTGCTACCTGAAAGGTATTGGTTCCTTGCAGCCCGGTCAGTGATCTCAGCCAGAAACTAAACACTGTGTTCAGTTAAAGGGCTTCCCACTGAATGAAGCTATTTCCACACATGCAAATTAGATAGGCATGTACCTAGGTAAGGATTTTGAGCAGTTACAAGTCATTGCATACCATTTCACTCACCTCTCTAATGCTTACATAAACAGCATTCTTCACGTCAACATGATCAAACTGAGAAACTATTTCTTACCACTGAAACTGGGAGTGGGGGACGGATGGACAGACGGTATTTTTAGCAGAAATAAATGTACATACCTTTGGTAGGTGAGGCCACTGCTAAGAATGTGGGTGTAACAATTATGGCTTTCTAGTGGTTGGTTTTGAAAGCTCCATGTCAGGTCAGCTGGGGAAGAGGGCACAAGTTTAAAGATAAAACTAAGAGGAGGAAAGAGGAAAATCTCAACTCTGTCCACTGATTTATATGTTCTGGGCAACCTTCAGATGCATCTCTTCCAGGCGACTACTGATTAATAGTTCTGCACAGGCTAAAGCACAGTGCTCTTGCAGCTACAGTGTTCTGATAGACAGCAACTTCCCTGAATGGGTGATATCCAGTGAGCATACCCCTTCCGCCAAGAGAACTGCTTATTTTCCCAAAGGACACATTAACAGCAATTCCCAAGGCCTTGGGCTCAGTGTCATTTGCTCATTAAGACTAGCCATGTGGGAGTAGTTTTGATGTGGTGCATACAAACTACTTCTTGAAAAATGAAGTTGTATTTTCAGGTTTTCTCTCCATACATCCTAGAGATCTATGAGTAGAAATGGAAAGGTCACAAATATGTCCTTTAACTACCAAATAATAACTAGGCATTTACTGCAGATATGTGAATTATTATTTGGAGTAAGAATGGGTGCAAGGCACCCCCTCTGGGGAATACTAGCTGTTGACCCTTTGCTTAGAGTTTAGAGTTTATACATAGTTCAAGTATTGAAACAGGTGTATGCATCACTACTTGCCATGCAGACAGATTCTATACCAACTTATTTTTCCCCTACTGAGTAGGAGACCACTCATATGCTAGAATTATGAGTTGGACAGAGGCTAAGCCAGTGATACACAGGTCCCACTTATTTCATTGGGACCCAGGTGAAATTAACTTAGTCTGGATCAGGGATAGGTAATCTTTTTGGCTTGCAAACACATCCAGTAATCCAAGGAACTGTCCTGGACTCCACCACAAAATGTCTACCATGGGAGGCATGGCAAAAGTCTAGTAACTTGCCCAAAAATTAAATGCAAGACATAGGCGAGGTCTCAGCTGCAACACACTAAACCAATCCTTTGAGTCCAGCTTTCCACACCAACAGAAACATATTACAGAGTATTCCCAACTGCGTTAAATTTACAAAACGGAAAAGAAAGGACACCTTGGTGAACACCCTGAAAAATATTCAGGGGCACAATAGTGCCCATGGGCACCATGTTGCCTTCTTGGCCTGGACTTAAGGCTGCGTGTATGAATGCTTGCACCACTCCTCCGTGGGACTATTGCCTCATGTTGTAGTACAGTGCTCAAGTGACAGGATACACAGAATTGATTGAGCAGATGGCTGGTTTTGTTGCTCTGAAGATTCATGCTCAGGGGCAACAGTAGATCTTCTTAAACAGAATACAGTCTAGGATTCAGAGAGGGTTAAAAATGCTGCATGGCACAGGCACTGGGATCACCAAAAATGGCACATTTTGCCCTGGTGCCTGTGGAGGTCCACTTCTCCCTCTAAGGGTGAAGAAGATGTAGCCCACTGGGAAACCACACAGGCGTGCACACTCAGGTCCTTATTATATATAAACCTTCCGCCCGTCATGACAGCAGTGCACTGCATTAGCAACAGAGATAAAAGCAGGTCTCTAAAGGCTGGAAGTGTTGGAGTATGTGATGGAGAGGGATCAAAGATACACAGTAAGTACCAGGTAAGAGAGAGCTTTACTGCTTACAGCTATGTTCTAAACAGGGAGCCTTCAGAACAGAAACACTTTCAGTCCCTAGATAATCATTCAGTTATCTGCTTGGGTGTTATGTTTGAGTGGAACCATCTTTTAACACCCATCTACTGTGAGCAAGCTACAAGCACAGCAGTCCCTCGGGAAAGAAACAAAGCAGAAGAAACCCTCAAAGTTCTCTCTCATTCCACCAGCCTCAGCATCACCAACAGGGGGGAACTCAGCAACAGACAATCCATTAAAGCTTGACTGAATAAACACTGCCTCCTTCTGTCTTTCAGGTAGAATTGCCTCAAGGTTAAGGTAATGAGGAAGGGAAAAAAACCGCCCTATGCAAACACAAGCTTACTGTCAGCATTCCCCTCCTTTTGGAGGTCTACGTCTGCATGCAAAGCTGGCCTTGCAAGCCCACCAGACTGCATAGCACATAAGAGATTCACAACTGACCAATGCCTAACAGATAGTCAAATGTAAGGTGTATTGAGAAAGGAAGCCTACATGCCAGTAGAACAATGGTAAAGTGGCAGAACAACGACAGAATGGTTTCACTTGGATTTAAAGAGAACTTTTTATTATTATTCTCTCTTCCCCTATCAGGTCCCACCATAAAAGGCAATTACAGAATTCCATCTTCTCCTGGTACATCTGGAAACAGTACAAAGTTGTTGTGTCTTTGAGTAGGGGGTTGACCAATTTTCTTAAAATGGTTATAGGATGCAGAAGTCACTCTCCGTAACCAAGCAGCCGCAGGTTGAAAAGGTTCTGTCATAATTCCACTGTCTATAACAAGTTTACAGAATCTCCTGCTACCTTCCAGTGAACAGAACACTCGTGGGCTGAAGAAGTTAAGAGCATCTACAAAGTTAGGACACATTGTCCAGGTCTGCAGGAGAATTGTTTCTGGATTACGTGTGAGCAACTGGAATGCCCAATTTGCAAAGAAGCTAGTAGAGCAGAAAATGTCTTGCTTTCTGGTTAGCACTGGATGATCAGTCTAATATTGGGGTTGGACTGATGACACCCAGAAGGCCCACTCCCCAGATGCATGGAACAAAGAAAGTCTGGTGACAGGCACTTCTCAAGCTTTCCGTTTTTTCCTTTTCCCACCAGCAACTTTGTTCCTGACACCCATTGCTCCTTCTGCGTCATCTTCGTCTGCCTCTTCCCGAGAGCGCTTTGTCTTTTCCCCTTGCTGACGCAACTCCTGTGGATAAAAGAGACAACAATGACTGGAGACTTTGAAGCAGTCAGTTGTTGAGACAACCAACAATTTAGAATAGAAATCATTAAACATACAATCCTTAGGACAGGTTTCCAATGATGGTTTAGAAGTCTCTAAACTTTAAAAATTGTCTTCACATACCTAATGTTTATGGATGGACATTTTCAGCATCTTCAAGATGTTTCCCACCCCCAGAATTACCAATATCTGTTTGCTGCCCCTCCTTTTCTTTGTTTTTTAGCTTCTTATTGCTGGAAATAGTGATCTCAGTCAGTCAAGGATTAGATTATGTAGCTGGCATATCAACATGATAGTGCAAGGTAGGAGGATTTTGCTACATGGCATATTAAACCCCATTCTTGCCCTTACTTTAGTCCCATTCACAGCCCGCAACTAGAGACTTGCCTTGGACAGGGGCAAAACTATTCACAAAAATTGCCCTTCAGCCCCAACTCCATTACAGCTCTGGCTCAACCTTGTTCTAAAACTTCTTTCATGCCAAGCCGTTCTCAACAGGACTTTGGCATTTTATAATGACTTTTTCATTCGGAAACCCCCATGATTAAACAAACAAAACTGCTCTCTTCACTGAGTATCTGTACACCATTCCCCAATCTTCATTATATTTACTCTATGGTTAGCTACCCGAGTAGCGCATTGATTCATTAAGCAGTCAATACTGTTAAGCTACAGCAACACTACCGGCTCTGTGAGACCCCTACAAGCGAGCTAGCAGGAAAGACTGTGGTATCTTCTATCAGACAAAGGCCTTGCATTGGATTTGATTACACCAAGAGTATGCCTGATGCTGTGGAAATCCCAACACCCATGGGTGTGAAGCGCAAATGGGTTTATTGCACATGAGCATGCACCCCCACAGAACAGGAGCCTCAAAAGGCAGCTTGCTTTTTGGTTTAGGCTTTACCCATGTAGGCAGTCTGAAGATTTAAACTAAAATATATACCATCCGTGCAAATCTCTGTGCTTCAGCCACACGCTCTGTCAGCATCATGACCTCCTCCTCTTGTGTGGGGAAGGCAGGCAGCTTCTTGCCAATCAGGTGCTCGATGCGCTGGAAGAGCTCCACATCGTACCTGTAGGGAGTCAGACAAGGGGGCTCAGCTGTACCGTCCCTCTTGACTAATGCCCCATAAACCAGTTAACACCACTCTCCCCCAAACCTGCCATCAGAGGGTCCCTCTATTCCGCTGCTCTCCTGTAGCAGAAAGCAGAGAAGCTACAAGGGTGGTGGGTGGTGGAGCACTACTTACTGTGTGACAAAAGTGATGGATTTCCCGGAGCGCCCGGCTCGAGCGGTTCTGCCCACCCGATGGATGTAATCCTGAAAGGGGCCCAGAATAAGTTACAGAATGTAGGACAAGGGAGCGGGAAGCACAAGCAGGACCAAGGGAAGCAGGAGATCCCACGATGCTAATTCAATACAGCTCCTTCCGGGTATGAGTTTAGCCTATCTTTAGACTGCCTAGTTTTATCCAGGAAGGTGGACTTAACCATGTGATTAGAGACTACAGACAGCTGCCTGCCCCAAACCACTACAGGGATTACATAGTATGTTTTTAAAGAATATACAGTATGGGTTCCATTATTTTAATCCTGCCAGACTCTTAAGGGAGGACTAGTTAAATCATCTAGCTTTTTAAAGTAGTATGAATAAATGTTTCTTTCATAAAGCTACCTGTGTTACAGCAAATCTATCCCCCACTCATGGTTAAGCAGACACTAATTTGTTTCTAGCCTTGCCTCATTAAGTTACATTTCAGGACTGAATGGCATCCATTAGCAGCAGAGTGTCAAAACTGATTGTACAGTGCAGCTATCTGTGCACAGAATGGACTTGAAGTATTTCCTGGAAAATCTCACACTTAACCTTTAGAAAAGCCTAGTTCAAGCCTTCATGAACGCACATAAATATTACCCACTAGTGTAGTGTCTGCTGAATGGTCACAAAGAAAAGGAAAATTTCAGTTCCTGTACTCTCTCAATATCTGCACAATTTATTTTTATTTATTAGACTTTATTCCTCCCCACAGCAATCCCTCTCTTTCAGTATACAAGATTAAACAGCCACTACATGTATAAAATTAAACTTTATAAGCCAACATTCATAAAGCATCACAAAAGGCAAATATTAAAGCCCAAAATTCTGCAGATGATCACATTTAACCAATCCAGATAAAAACTGTTAGAGCTGTCTCTATCTGCTTTCCAAAATCTAGTAAGGAGATAGACAAGATCCCCCCTCTAGACAGGTAGCTGAACATTTCCATTTCTACCAAGGGCAGACCTCGTGCACCAAGCAGCTCTGAAAAGCCAGGGCAGGTTGCTGAGCATCAAATAACGATGACCAGTGCAGACCAGACTGAAAGCCCTGAAGATCCTCCTGACCATCAGCCCACCAGTTTCTCTCTGTTAACATAAGAAAAGCTGCACTATCTACTACAGCACTGTGTCTGCACAATGGCAGAGCAGATACCCATGGCAAGTTCAAAAGCGGACATGGGAATAAGTCAGCATCCTCCTGCTTGTGTTCTTAGTGACTGCTGTACACAGGCATATGGCCTCCAAAACAGGAAACAGCAATTAAGTCTTCAGAACTAGTAGCCATTGATAACCTTCTCTTCCATGAATTTGTCCAACCCCTTTTAAAGCCACCCAAGCTGCTGACCATCACTGCATCTTATGATTGTGGATTCTTTACTTTAACAGTGCCTGGTGTGACTTTTATCTCCCACCATTTAGTTTCATAGGTTGACCTTGAGCTCTGGTTTTTTGAGAGGGGCAGAAAAAGGTGTCTCTATCCATTTTCTCCATGCTATGCATAGCTATATATACTTGTGTTAATGGGTCTCTATGCTATGACAAGCAATATAATAAATGCTTGTAATGTTCAATCTTCTGATCCATTTCCTTGCTGATGCACTTGTTAATTTTCTCAATTTTTTGGCATTCACTGGGGGTTGGGGGAGAAGAGCTACTTCGCCTGTGAGGAATTCTTGGAACAATGGAAGAAGAGAGCCAACAGGCTTCCATTCCTTCCTGTGAGCCCCTTGAGACCACTCAAACCAGCAAAAACCTGGCTCAGTAGCATGCCTTTATAGCTCACCTTGGAATGGGTAGGAATGTCAAAATTCACCACCACATCAACGTGGGGGATATCCAGGCCCCGGCTAGCAACATCAGTAGCCAGAAGGATGGAACGTGCCTTGGCCTTGAACTTGTTCAGTGATCCCAATCGCTTGTTCTGGGAAAGAAAAGGAACAGTTTACATGCTTCAATATTTTTTTTCTGCCTGGAAAATCAGAACGAGGTCAAACATTTGTGAATTTGCCATCATTACATTCTTTTGTTTGCATACAATTGCAGTAAAGGAAGCAAAGGGGATGGCATTTAGAAGAAGGGCCTTTTCAGCAGCTGCCCCCAACCTTTGAAATGGGCTTCCTAAAGAGTTCCACCTGGAACTATCTCTACTTTCTTGCTGGCACCAGGCAAAAACCATCCTCTTTTGCAGATTTTACAAAACCTGAATTTAAAACCTGATCATAGGCCCTCATTCTGCTCTAACAGATTTTCTCCCCTCTTCCCCCTGTACTTGTACTGTGAGGTGTATATTGATATTGTAAGCCGCTTAGAGAGTCCTGTCGGGCTACTGAGTGGCATATACATTTGATGAGGAGGAGGAGGAGGAGTGAATGAGAAGTTACTGAAAGAAAAAGCAAGCACCACTGGTTATTAAAATATGCGTATGTCTTCCAGACATTTCCTGGCATTCAGGTCACCATGTACCTGACTCATCTGTCCATGGAGGGGGATTGCAGTGAAGCCCAGATTCCGAAGCAGGAGGGCCGTCCTCTGAGTATTGTTGCAAGTGCTGCAGAATATCATGAATGAGTTCCCAGCAAGTTCATTCAAAATGTAGACAAGGTAGCTGTCCTGAGTGGATTAGAAAAGGTGTTTAACATTGAAGCAGGGTAAGATAAAAGGGGAGCATATTCAAGAAGTTGCAAAAGAGGAGGGAATATCCTAGTGGAGTAAAACACAAGGAAGACATAAATTACCTTGAACTTGGAAGGAATAAATACATAATACTGCTGTAATTTTTCAACTGTCTGATACTTAGATGAAACTGCACATTTTACAGGATCCTTAAGAGCTGCACGCTGGAGTTTTTGCACCTGAAGATTAAATCATAATTTTCAAACACACATTCTGCTATGATACCACCTGTCATCCCCCCTCCTTGATTTACTGCAAAATGGCAGTCTCTTTCTCACCTTTTTAGTCATTGTAGCAGAAAAGAGAAATGTCTTCCTGTCTCTGGGAATCACTTTCAGGATCTTGTCTACCTGCAAAGAGAGAGAAATTCAGTGAGATGCAAAGGAGCAGAAAGATAATCAACATGCTCATACATTTACCAAGCACCACTGCAGGCAGTCACAATCTAGTCTGGTGGAAGCAACAGAGGAAGCATTTTCTTTTTAAATCAGGCTATTCTGAGTACTCCATAGCAAACAATTCCCAGATAGACAAAAAGAGAACTGATGCTTTACATGGAGAAAGAAACCCAAAGGACTTCAGACAAGGGCCCTGTTACCTGTCTCTAGCTGTGTGTCAGTAGGCATGACTCTGAAAAGCAAAATCCACAGGAAGCAAACCTGGGCATAGACTGAGCACGCAAGCCTAGTTCTAAAAGAATGGCTGTATCTAAAAGGCTATAGATCTAATGCTGGCAACACCTCAAGTTTAAGCTGTAAAAGAGTTCATAAGGATCCACTAGGGTGTGTGGTCATAGTGAGCACACTCCCAGACTGCCAGCTGTGAATGATGGCGATAACCCTAAGATTTGCATTCCATATTAGGAAGAGAAGCAAAGGCAGATCCTAAAGAATGGAAGTTCCACAGGACCATCCTGAAATGGCAGCAACGGGCATTGCTCACCTCAGTTTCAAAGTCCATGTTGAGGATTCGGTCAGCTTCATCCATAACTAGGTATTTCAGAGCTCTCAAATTGAAGCCCTTTGTGTTCTCAAGGTGATCAATAAGGCGCCCAGGTGTAGCTACCATGGGAAGAGGAATAGAGAGGCCAACATAAATAGTCACTAGCAAAAATAACCTGGGTTTTTCCAAACAAAATACACCAGGTGCAGTATATAGAACATTGCTGCAGTGTAGTATCTGCTTATTCTAGTTAGCCTGATCTCCCCATTTCCTGCAGTAAAAATAGCCACAGGAGTAAAGACTGTGCCAGGGCTCTGGACAGGTTTGAACTGACAAGGCTGATTGCAGTGAAAGGGTCTTCACCTAAGCCAAGAACATTTGAGAAATTTGCTCTGTCAGCTCTAGTCAAGCCTGTCCATTTTCCAACCAGATGATAAATACTCTGAACAATTCCAGTCAAGCCGCATACTCCACCAAACACTGATCAGAGTGGCATTATTTCACCAGAACAGAATATAATGAATTAGCTGCTGCAGCAGGGATTGGCAACTGGTAGCTCAAAGGCAAGCACGTACCTGAGCAGCTCTGGCCCCAGAATAAAGTTTATTTATATATTTATAAAATTTGTATGCTGTCCAATTACTAACGTCTCTCCTAAAGTTGGGATGGATGGTGGTAGTTTCCTTGACTATCACCAATTTAAATGAAAAGGCCCAAACCAGCAGCTGCTGCATAGCCTTCTAGCTGGTTGGACTCAAGAAACTTTAAATTGGAAAGGCTGGAAAGAGGAAAATAAAGAAAGATTGTGGATCTAATTGCTAGACAGACAGATGTAGCAACAATTTTTTTCATTGCTTTGATTTGTGAACAAAGGCTCAGATGTGGAATAACTCCCATATATGTATTCTTAAGGTTTCATCACAATTATTTGAAAGTATCCAATATGCTGGTTCCTTACCAATTATTACGTGTGGTTTCTTGGCTAGGGCCAAAGACTGGGCCATCATGTCTATTCCTCCTACAATAACAGCTTAGGAAAAAAAGAGAGAAATTGAACAAATCCCTTTGAAACCAATCAGTTAGCAATAACCCCACCCACTACTCTGCCTCTCCACAGCCATCTTTCCTGCAAAGAGCCACTAGAGTCTAAAGCTGGAAAATATCACGCAAACTGAGCATACTTGTGTGACTTAGCCATTCAATGTCCATGCAGGACACACGCGCAGGAAGAGCAGCTGTGAGAACAGCTATACTTGCAATATCTCGCTCCTCATTTCTCTAATTTTAATAGAAATTTCCAAACTTCCAGTTTTACTCTATTGATCTTAGTATTATTATTATACTGCTATCCTGCCTTTTTCCCTCTTGTGAGGAATCCAAGACAGTTTGCATAGCTCCATTTTATCCTCAGAAAAACAGCCCAGTGATGTAGGTTTATTTATTTATTTATTTATTTCTATACCACCCCACAGCCGAAAGTCTCTGGGCAGTTTACACAGTGCATAAAAACAGATGACAAAAATACAAAAAAGTATCATAAAATACTTTTTAAAACTAAAAATAGATAACAAGGAGTAGCAAAAAGAGTGACTCTGCACAATACCTGGTCATGTTAGTTGACCGCTAGCATCAAACCACAGGCTAGTGATCTAACAGGCTAATAAACTTTGGAGACTAATTTGCAAATCTGATGTAGGCATAGCAAGTTCCATACTTGGCTGCTCAAATTTCTTGAAACTGGCCTATATTTAAATGCAACTGTTCCTTCTTCTCTATACGTCTTAAAAACTTCACCATGCTCTCTGTTCAGCTGAAGGAAGGCAGCAAGGCTACTCACCACATTGGACACCAATGGAAGACCCAAGAGCCTCAAACTGCTCCGAGATCTGAAAAGCCAACTCCCGGGTAGGTGTGAGTACCAAAGCAAAGAAGCGCTGAGGTGTCTCTAGTAGGGTCTGAAGGATGGGCAAAGCAAAAGCCCCCGTTTTTCCAGAACCTGTCTCTGCTAAGCCAATGATGTCACGGCCTACAAAAAAGAGCTTCATTACATTCAGCAGCTATAGGAAAACAGTAACACAGATAGGTAAAATTCAAAAGCATTTCTGGAAAGTACATGCAGGAGATCTTAATAGGGCAAGAGTGCAAACAGAGCAGCAGATCAGAAAACTTTCCATTAATGACAGCATTAAGAAACAACTCCTGATGCAAATGTGTGTAGTTTCAAGACAATAAGAATAGAGCAACGATTAGCAACTTCCAGGAGCAAGGGGGTGTGCTGCCCACCCTCCAGAAACCCTCCAGGGCTTGCACAGTGACCCTGCCAAATGTGCCCTCCCATCACCCACGCTGCTTCTTCCAACTAGGCTATGCTGCTGTTTAAAACAACAGTGAATATTCACACTCTTTTCTTCTTATATAAACATTTCAATTAACAATCTCGAAAGATTGCTGGGACTTGTGCATCATACACCTTTGGGAAACTTTCCTAGGAGACAGTGCTAACTCAGCTTCACTCAACAAAATAAAAATTACGTAATTCATCATGCCTCCATCACATAACAAATTCCACTATCCTCCACAGACTGAAGTACTGCAGTGGAAATTCTGCTGTGGCAAGTCTATAAATTCAGCAGCCTCCCCACAAAAGGTTTTTGCCCTCCTGTGCTGCAGGGTACAAGGGTGGACAGGGACACAGCGGAAAAGGCAGGACCAGCAAACATGTAGCAGCTCCCCCACTATTGCAGGAAGGCAAGAATAACTGACTAGGACAAATGCTCTTCAATGTAACAGAGGTAGCCTGAACATGGTTGGGATAGCTCCTAAGAATAAACCCACTATTTCAAATACAGTAGTAACCTGAACAAGAACTCAGATCATTCTTTCTGTGACATTCAGCCCCTCAGTCCAAGGTGAAAGTAATTTGGCATGTGTTCCAAGGATACGTTCTTGAAAGTGAAACTTCTTTAGATGAGATTAGGAACAGCCATACTTTCAAACCTAACATACCTAGACAGATATCAGTATTGTTTTTGTTGCTAGAAGGATTCCCCTGAATAAGTCTTACCTTGGAGTGCAACTGGAAGAGCCTCTACCTGGATCTTTGTAGGGGTCTTCCATCCCAACTGATCACATGCTTCACATAGCACATCTGTAACTCCCTGTTATTCCAAAGAGCAACAGAGAAGAATTATCATCATGGCCTTTAATAAAGTAAATTTCCATTTTGAAAATTTGATAGCTTACAATCATGGCATGATTCTAAAGGCACATCTGCTTCACAGGTAGTAAATGCAGTTAATCAGAATCAGTAAATGTTACAAGTAAAAAGGAGGAGGAGAAATGTGGTGCAGGGGATACTTGGATGAGGAAGGTCCAGGTTCAACTCTCTACTCATTGGAGACCTTAGACCATTCATAATCTGTCAGCCTAATCTATCTACTGAGAATAAAATTGAAGTCACACAGACCCAAGTTTCTTTGCATAAAAGCATTTTTTTAAAAAAATCTCCTTATGCAAGCAATGAATTGCACTTATCTTTTAACTCTTTATTTTTTATATATTGATTACTGCTAGAGCTCTGGATATTGTCAATGTCAATACAATACACTAAACAGTTATTCCAGCCCAAGAAAACAAGTACAGCCAAACTTTAGCAGGGAATTTCCTAGTACAGAAAGAAGACAAGTGGGCAGGTGCGGGACAGGAGGAGACCTCAGTGGTGGTGAACCAGTTGGGAATCACTGTTTCTCTCTATAACACTACATCCCATCTACTACAAAAAACACAATCAGACAGGACCTTCTAGAGTTATACCCAATGAGAATGAGTGTGTTGAAGTGGTTATAATATTGAACTAGGACTCAGAAGATCCAGGTTCTAATTCCCACTCAGCCATGAAGTTCACTGGGAGGCTGTGAGCCAGTCACTGGCTCCTAGGCAAACCTACTAAACAGGGTTTTTGTGAGAAGAAAATGGGGAAGAAGAATCACATAAGTTTCCTTGGGTTCCTTGCAGGATAAAAAGTGGGATATTCATATAATAAATAATACAGAAATAAATTCCAGTCCCATTTAAAGTAAACCCACTGAAATTAACAGGGCTGGAATTAGACCAACACGGGATAAAACCAATGGAGCAGAGAGGTAGATAGTGTTGTAAAACCCACGAATAAAAATAAAAAATAAAAACCGTTGCCCACTATTTGGCATCTGAAGAAGCGGACACTGTATTAAGCGAAGTACGTGGATTCGCAGACAGCGAAAAGAAATCATACGGGAGGTTCACCCACTGGACTGAGAAAATCGACGTATGATGTCAAGCCGATTTGATGACAGATTCAATGAGGATGAAAGAGAGAGCTAAAGAAAATCGGGGACTACGAAGAAACTCCGCTATTCCCTCACCAACTCTTTAAAGGTTTTCACGGTCTCCTCGGCCGCTTCCTCATGTTCCATGCTCGTCGCCATCTTCACGCTCACCTTTGACCCATGGCTGCCGCAAGGCACCTTGGGAGTCGTAGTCCAAGCATATCCGCGTCCTAAGACGGAGAGAGAAGCCGAGCAGGATGATCCACAGCTAAAACGTTCAGACGCAGTAGGCTTCCCGTGTGCATTTTTGTTGCGTTTTGAGTGGTGTTTTTATTTGCTTCCCGGGGCAGAAGTGGAAAAGAAAATCATAGGGAAAATCTAGATTTTCCCGAAATGTGATCAGGTGTCCCCGTAAAAGCAAAAACCCAACAGCAAAGACCGGGAAGGGTTCTGCTGAGCAAGAAAAGTGGACTGGCCCTTGTGGGAATCGAGGATGTATTTTGGTAGGAGGGATCGTTAGCTGCAAATCCGGAGCGGCACCGGTTAGCCTCGCCAATTCTAGGGAGCGACGTTGCAGTGTTGTCCCCTCAGCCTGCAGGGAGGACACAGCGTGCAGAGGATTGACACTGCTAAGGGATCTTTTTTTTAAAGTTTACTTCATTTGTAACCCCACCCCACCCCACACCCCACCCCACACACACACACACGCACGCACACACGCACACACACGCACGCACACACGCGCGCGTACAGAGTGAGACCTGGGCGAGGAACAGCTTGCACGCCTCGCCCGCTCGCTCGCTCTCCGCATGTCACGTTGGTGGAAGCTTCTCGCGGCTACGCTAAAATCCTGAATGTCTCCAGTAATTTCTCTGGGCAGTCCTCAATTCTGCCCCTGGACACAGTTAAAAATGGAAGCGAACCCAAACTTCTCTTTGTAATAAACAGATATGTTACTCTTACTGTCTTATCTCTGAAGTCCGAAAATTTTCCCCAGTCTCTTCTCACTTGCTTACAGTAATAGTAGGTCAAAGCGTGCGGACTGCTGGGACTTGTAGTATATTGCTGTAGTACATGGGTAGTGAACGAAGCAAAGAAGTTAGCATACTTTTCAACTGGGTGCCCTCCAGATTTGTTGGGCTATAACTATCCTCATAGTAAACCAGCATGATTAGTGGTGGAATGGTGCTGTAGGCAAACACTTTGGGTAGGCACCAGATTCTGGAAGGCCAGATTAGGGAGGAAGAGTGAAGGGGAAAAATACACAGAAAATTGCTTTCTGGACACAGAAGGTATCTAAATGTTGGTGTCCATCAGAGGATTAAAAAAAAATCTAAAATCAGCTGGAGTCTCAAAATATGACAGCGTTTTCTGTTAAACCTTTCCATGGCTTGGATTTTCTGGATTTTCTGGGGAAGTGAAAGAAAATTATGGAGTGGTATTGGAGAGATTTATTTTTTCCCCAAGTGTAGGACTTTTCTGGAACACTATACTGTGCTGTGATCATATCGGTCAAACCTCTTGGTCACTAACAGCAAGATTCTAAGTGTTTATTACTTGGAACTATTAAATCCTTCTGAATATAACAGGATTTACTTCAGAGTGAGAGTAAAGGGCAGTTCTTCGCTGGCTGGACAATGCTAGCAAGGATTATGGCCTTTGTACAACCTTTTTCCCATCTAAAGATGCATAAGAATACACCTCAAGAGACCTAGTGATCCATGGTGTAATCCCAAGTATGTTTGTATTCAGAAGTAGGCCCATGGATTTTCATAAGACCTACTCCCATGGATGCAAGTATTATGATATAAGACAGATCACCCATAGCTGAAGCTCTCAGAAGAGATGGCCATCTTAAGCTGGTGCCAAAAAGAATGGGTGCCAGCTGGGTTACAGTAGGGAAATTATTCCATAGGGGGACACAGAGAAAGCCCTCCCCCTAGTGGCAACCTTCCACACTTCCCTCAGAGTTGACACTTGGAAGAAAGCCCCACAGGCTGAGTGTCATGTGGGAGTACATCACAGCTGGGAGAGAAGCTTTGACAGGCACTGTGGTCCAAGATGTGTAGGGCTTTATAGGTTAAAACCAGCACTTTGCATTGGGCCTGGAAGCATACAGGCAGCCTATGCAAGCAGGCCAGAACCAGCCTCAGGTGTTCTAACCAGTTATTCTGCAGCAGCTACAGCTTCTGAACCATCTTCAGGGGCAGCCCCACATGGAGTGCATTGCAGTAATGTAATTTAGAGATTACCAGAGTGTGGGTTACTGAAGCCAGGTTATCCCGTCCAGGTAGGAGAGCAGCTGGGCCACCAACCAAAGCTGGTGGAAGGCACTCCGCCTTTCCCCAAGGGTGCAACACTCTCCTGTCTTACCACAAGCCACCAGGTTCTGGCAATGCAGCCCTCAAAACCTGTAGATCATTGTTCAGGGACGGGGTGGGAGCATAGGGCCCTGGTTACAAATCACCACTCAATCCATACTCTCGTGCTGCCACAGGATACCAGATTCTACTGCTTGAGTGGGTGAGGAAGCTTTCCCTTTGCACAGAAAAAGCACCCTGTACATGATCAGAGGCACACAATGCAAATGCTATGAACAGCCAGCCCTCATACAGAGAGCTTTAAATGAAAAGGAGGAGGAGGCAAAAGGCCCCAGGAAAGAACCGAGGCAAGGGGATCAAGGAGTCTTAACTTTTACAAAGTCATCTTACTCCCTACTCTGATGTTCTACATACAGTAAATGGCTCTTTGCAAGTCTAGTAAAGGGAAAGTGGTTGAAAGACAGAGTACAAGCCTCTACAATAAATAAAATTGGAGGCAGTTCCTATTTGGATGTGGGCTGTTTGCTTCAGCTAAAATTAATGACTCAGACTCATTTTCAGAAGGCATGGTAGGATTCTGAGTGGGTTGACTTTACAATTCTGCTGAAAAAGGGAACTCCTGAGCAAACCCCTGGCTGGCTTAATGACTTTCCTCCATTTATTGGGAGGGTGGTGCTGGCTAAGTGCGTGAGCACTGTGGAAATGACGATGAACTTGAGCCATCAGTTACTGGAGTTCAATGGTGTTGCATCCTGTCTTCATATAACAGTAGGAAATGTGGCAGGATATCTAAATAAACTTTTGTGTGTGTGACCGGTAAAGTTAGAGAGCCAGACATCACAATCTCAGCTTCTGAGAGCCATAACATAACGGCAGGAGCTTGTTTCTCTGCTTTTCTGCATCCCCCCAGCTATTTGCTATGCTGTCTAGATCACAACATTCAACATTAAGAAACTGTTTGTCAGCACGCTGATTAGATCTGCATTATTATTTGCTATGCAACATTATTGCTCCTAGCGAAGGAACCATACTTCCCAGTTACAGCCACCTGGAAGCCTTACTGTCATTCTTCGCTCTTTGCCTTCTTCATGCATGCTTCTCATTCCATTTGTCCAGAGGTGCACAGCTTGTGGGCTTCCAGATGTTGGACTGCAACTCCCATTGACTGTGTTGGCTGTATTTCAAATAGCAGCCCAAATAACTGGAAGGGCACAGGTTGTCCAACCCTTTCTGTGGCCTTTTTGGGCGCTTCTGTTCATCCCAGATGGTGAGAAAGAGTTGCACCACTGGGGAAAGACAGCTCAAGCTCAGGCCAGGCACCCACTCAATCAGCAACTGCCACCTCCACCTATTTCCTAATGACCACCAGGCAGTAGAACATGTTAGCTTGGACATGAGCCCATGTAGACTCACTAACAAGGGCAACAATTCTGCTGGGTTTAGATGTGATATATGGAGACTTTACATCAGTCCTGGCAATTGACTGAGGTGGTGATGAGGTATCAAAAACTCCTTGCATTTTCCTCTATTGTTAAGAACAGGAATGGCTGTACTAAATGCAGTGGCCAGCTACATCATCCTGCAGCTGTATATATGTTGACAAAAAAGTCAGTGTGTGTTCAGTGAAGAGAATCACAAGTGTGTCTACGATCAGAATCACAGGTAGCAATCCCGTGCCTGCATACCTGAGAGCAGACCTTTTTGAATTCCTTGGTCTTAGAGCTATATCAGGGATTACACTGTGTGGATCACTTTCTTAGGATATATGTGTAGAAAGGAAAAAGTCCAAGAACATGAGTCATTTCCCATTTTCCTTTGCTTTCCCATATATTCACCAGTTACACAAATTCCCTCTTCACATTATCTTTGTACCTTTGGTTTAGGTCCCAGAAAGTTCTCATTAGGCCTGCTTTATAGATAGGGTCTCCAAAAACTCACTCATACACGTTTGCCATGATGTATCTAATTGATTTGCCCAGCAGGACTGCCCTATTGTTTAGATTCAAAGTTTCTACACAAAAGTCAGCGGACCACAGTGATGTGTGCTGTAACTGTCAAGAGTTTTCCCCAGCTCCCACTCTCATCCCCAAAATGCTAAGTTTCACTATGGGAAACCCACTAGGAAATCTATAGAACTCATGCCAGTCTCTACCAGCTATCTGGAACAGCAGAGACTGGGATGGGAAGAAACACCCAGGAAAGGACAACTTCTGCCCCTCCAGGCCTACAATTCACAGCAGCCTTCTGCCAGCATAGTCAAGAGTGAGGATGGGAGCTGTAGGCCAAAACATCTTGAGGAGTATATGCTGCCCTCCCCAGCCCTAAAGATTTGGATTACAGAAACTGTAAACTCTGAAAAGGCATCTCCAGTCACAAAATATGATTGATTCACATAGAGTTTGCATCAGTTGACACCTCATTACTAAAATAGTGTTCATTTAGTTAACATAAAGGCTGTGTCAGTAAGCACGGTATGCATTCAAACATAGCAAGACACTATAGAGAATGAGCCATGGCAAACCTTAACACACTCTCTCCTCACCTTACCCACAGTCCTCTACGTATTAGGAGAGAAGCGTGTGCTCTTAGCTGGTTGACTCAGTTGTTCTTCCGGGTTCTCTCCCACAGAGCGGAGCCAAAGGAGCCTACTGTTCCAGTGCCACAACTTCCATCTTCACATTCCCCTCACATACCTGGTCTAGATCCCCAGAACTGTTTTATAAATGGATTCCCCAGCACAAAACCCCCTGGTTTTCCAGGTTGCTGTGAGAGGTCAACTAGAGCAACATGGGTGGAAAGCCTGGACTGAGTCCAATCGAACACAGACTAGAGTTTGTACGAAAGCCTCTTCCAGCAAAGAAAGTCCACTTCTCTGCCACTGTTGCATCTGCTCAGAATTGCCCCACAGAACTTTTAGGTGGTCAGAGGCTTGTTATGCTCTGGTCAGAAGAAGAGGTGGTCCACTCAATAGCCCACTGTGACCAATTTGTGTACAATCTGCAGAAAAAAGTGGTCATATCCACACTGGCTTGGATGCCATAATTGATACAGGTCTGGTTGATGTAACTTTTGCTACTGTTTGTCCAATTATAATGGATATGTCTACATTTGTATAGCCAAAGGATCCGGGCAGGATCTTTGGAGAGGTGTGGCCTACCATTTGTGTGCTGGATCCTTGTCCTTCCTAGCTTATAAAAAGCAGCCAGGGAGGGAGATTAAGAGAGTAGTAGCAAATGCTTCTTTATGACAAATGTTAAAAGCACTCTCTGAGAGCAAGGGGTAAACAGCTGATGTACCCCCAACTGCTGCCCGTGGACCCACAGGAGTAGCTAGTTCGTGTGAGCCAGAGGTAGCAAGTCCAATCCTGTTTGGGGGCAAAGAGTCACACAGATGCCAGTGTAAAGGCGAAACGGTTTATGAGGAACAGAGTTACTAAAGCAATAACTAAGATAAACAGAACCCAGACAGGGATTTGTATGCCCAAGGAAAGGCAAACATATTCACAGAAGAAACCTCTCTGTTTGCCTAATGCTAGCAAAATGCTGCAGTAGCAGAGCAACTTGAGTTGGGATCTCTGCCCAGGTGTAAAGAGAGGAACACTGAGTGTCATTCTTGTCAGGTCTCCTCTCAGACCAAAGTACCTCCCCACATCCTGCCATTGGTCTGAAACCTGTGAGGTCTGCTCAGAGGTGATCTAATTGCTGAAAAGTAAGGAAAAGTGAAGTAAAGAACAGGCAGGATCTGCTTGGAATAATGCAGAGTTCTAATCTTTGCAGTTGGCCTTCAGTTTCGGACACCCTGCCTTATCCAACTTCTCAATTTTGCTCTTTCATCAGTTTTATTGTTAAATTTCTCACACTCAAAATAGTTGCTGCTGCCTTGAAGTAATCATTAACAGATAGTAGACTATAACAAACTCTAACATGGCTCTACCATGACTCTCTCTTGCTCGGTCTAGACCATGATCCATTTCACCACTAATATAAAGTGTGATCCCATCTTGCCTAAAAGAGGTGGCGATAAGACCATCATATGTAAGCAAACAAGCAAGCCTGAACCTCACTCTATGGAATCCTTTCTGGCTGGTCTCCAATATTCTCTTCTTGTGCAAGGTGCTGGAGCACGTGGTAGCTTTGCAGCTCCAGGGAATTCTGAAAGAGGCAATTTATCTAGATCCATTTTAATCCAGCTTTAGGCCTAGTTCTGAAACAGAGAGAGGATAGATGCCAGGAACTGGACAGGAGGACATTAAGTGCACCTCTGTTGGTTCTGCTGGATGTTTTAGTGGCTTTCAATTTCATTGACCATGGTAGCCTTCTGAGGTCTCTCAAGTGGGCTTGGTAGGCACTGCTTTACAAGGGCTCTGGTCCTTTTTGGAGGGGAAATTTCAGAAGGTGGTGCTGGGGGATTTCTGTTTGACACCATGACCACTAGCCCGTGCTATACCTCAGGGTGTTATCTTATCCCCCAGGATATATAACACGTGTATCAAACCAGTGAAAGAAACTGCCAGAGTTTTGGAGTTCAGCTCCATCAATATTCTGATGACACTCAGCTCCAGTACAAATCAAATCAATTAATCAGTAATATGCAACAAATTGTAATTTGCACACACTATAGGCTGCAATAAAATTATACTTTTCAATCTTGGTTTAATTGGGCAAAGCAGCAAACTATGGTGTCATGGAAAGTAGAAGCTTCTAAGAGCAGAAGACAGGAAGGCACCTGCAAGCCTGAGAATCCATACCTTTTATTCCTATATTGACAAATTTTGTCACTTTGTCACTGAGCCAATTCACACAATAGCATTGTTGTGCTAAATCTGTTGTGTAGAACACAGAAATCCAATTTTAGTAATCAGATTGTTTTATTTGTATTTTTAGCAGTGCTTTTTGATTTCAGTTATCTTTTGTAAGTAGTTTTGGGAGGACTTTAGCCTGAAATGCAACATACATGTGTGATGGAAATATCAGTGCGAAATAAATTAAATTATTTGCCTGTTCTATGAATAAGAAGGGCTGGTAAGGTTTGCGTGCACTTATTTATTTATTTATTTCAGGGGACTGGGCTGATGTTATGATAATTATCTGGACTGCCTGTGTTTGTTCCTGCATCCTTATGGGTAAAGCTTGCTCACCTTTACAATTGAACATATATTGTTATTAAGGCAGCTTCATATGCTGCTGCATCGTTTTCCTATTTACCCTGCCATGCCACTCCTATTGTTTGGAGAAGGTGCTCCAAGAAGTAAACAGTATCAAGGCTGATGCAGTTAGTTCATACTTACTTATTTAGAATTTCTTACAATGTGCTTACTTGTGGACTTGTGGTTCTTCACTGAGAGGTAGCTTGCAGGAGCTTTATACAATGTCATTACCCTCTGAGTCTTCTCTGTATTTTGCAGCCATTCTCACTGGGTTTTTTTAGTCAGAGGAAAGTGAGGTATTATTTGCTAATCTCATGATAAATTGCTATTCATTTTGCAATTATACTTTCACAATTGAGCGGTATCATAGCTGCTTTGTGGTTGTGTAGTGGAATATATAGAGAGGCAGAGAAAGAAAGTCTCTGAGAAAACAGCCATGTGTAAATAAGTGCCCTTAATCCCACAAAGAAAACAAAAGCAGAAGCCTTAGCAAAGTGGTGGGTCAAAAGCCTCAAGTAAAGAAGCCCTGTATTTCCAGATCATATTGCACTGGAGACAGCAATCTATTCTTTGGCTTTTCAAATGCCTTAGATATCCAGGAGAGCATTATGGCTCCTTTCCTCACCCCACCCCACCACCCAAAGAGAAGGAAGCCGGGAAACTGTGTCAGATTTGCCATGCTGTTTATAGGAAGTTCATCCCATATTCAAACTCCTTAGGATCAAATATATTTAAATCTTGCTACCACTCTGCACTTGAGATTCAGAAGTTTCTCTCCTCATTTAGCAGTAAAGAAATAAAATAATCAAGTAATCATTAGAAATCAACAATATTGTTTTCACTGAGGTGGTGAGCCTGTACCTGGGCTGTACTACATAAGACTATAAATGAGAACTATAGATGTTTAAATGCTCCTCCAGAAGAAAAGAAAAAAATAAAATAAAATCTGCAGATGGAAACAAACAAAAAGTAAGGCTAGAGAAGAACTTCTTTTCCTGAGATCTGTGTTTTTGTGCAAGGAATCTAATGGGTAAGCTGGCATGGAAAAACATTCTGCTATATATTCCCTAGAGCTGGACTGCAAAGTCATAAAACCCACATGCAAATTGACCATCTCAATGAGAACAAAGTGTACATATATTGTTCAAATCTTTTCATGTTGGTGCCATTATGCATTACCCCAAGGGTGAGGAACCTCAGGTCCCAGGTCCAATTTCACGTCCCTCCAAGCCTTTTGGGGGTCCCCTGCACCCACCCCACCTCCTTTCCCCAATCTTTTGTGGTGATTTCCTGGCTTTTGTGCAATTCCTTCCCCAACCTGCTTGTTTAAAATACTTCTCCTAAGGCAGTCAGAGCTTTAAGCTACAATATGCAGCTTATTTGTTTCTGTTTTTGCTTTTGATTCTCTTCATCTGCATTCAGCCCCACCCAGCACTGGCTGTGGCCTGAATGATTAAGACTACAGCATTCTCTTCAGCAAACGTTGAGTGGCTTTGTGCATATCTCTGATATGCCCACTGTGCATTTTTCTTTCTTTGTTCATCATTGCATTTTTTTCTTAGTGTTACTATCTCCCAATATACCTAACAGGTGCACATCTTTGACAGTTCATTCTGGTAGTATTGAAAAAGATTATGTCCCTGAAAAATAGCTGCAGGGATGCTTCCCAGTGGTATGATATGATTAGGAATAATATATTATTCCCATACAAGTATGCCTGTAAATGCATGTGAAATCATACCTGAGAAAAGCCATACATACTTTGTTGTGATGGGTGTGCAGATCTGTCCTAAACTGCTGTGCTTTGCAACATCATGAGATTTGAATTTACCATAAAAACAATTAGGCAAGGAAGCAAAGGTTTGTGGTTTATTTGAGCAATTCCAAACATGCAAAACTTTGGAAGCCACTTTTTATGCAGTCATCAACCATCAACTCATCAACCTCTCTCCTTTAATCCTAGTATGCATATCCCCTGGTGCAAGAAACAATTCTTTGATACTTGGAATCATAGAATAGAAGAGTTGGATGGGACCAGAAGGCCATCAGGTCCAACCCCCTGCTAGCACAAACACTGTTACACCATTGCATTCTGATGACTGTCCAGATGCTTTGTGAATGTCTCTAATGAGGGAGAGCCCACAACTTCCCCAGGTAATAGGTTGCATTGTCATATTGCTCTGACAGTGAGGAAATACTTCCTGGTATCTATTCTAAACGTGGTTTCTTTTAACTTAATTCAGTTTTCCATGTCCTACACTCTGGGATGGATGAGAAGAGATCTTGTCCTGCCTCTTTGTGATAGCATTTTAGGTACTTGTAAAGTGCTATCATATCACCCTTCGGTCTTCTCCTCTTGAGGCTGATCATGCCTAGTTCTCCCAATCATTCCCGATACAGCTTTGCCTTCAGTCCCTGAATCATCTTTATTGCCCTCCTCTGTACCCTTTCTAGCTTTTCTGCATCTTTTTAAAAACATAGATGCCTGGAACTGAGGTGAGGTCTGGCTTTCACTGCAATACTTCATTATTTAGCCAGTGCAAAGACATTGCCCTCCCCCTTGAAGGGGAGCTTATCCCATTGCAGCACAGTGCTTCGCAGACACAGTTTTCATGCCATGAATCACTTCCCTATCTTCATATCCATAAAAACACTTGGTTTGGATAATACATATCATTAGCCCTGTTTTAGCAATCCATAAACCACAGCACATTCCCGCAAATACACACACACTTCTCTCCAGGGGCCAGTAATGTCTTGGGTACTGACCTAATTACATCTGTCATGCCTCAGCTTCTTGCTGCATGTCAAGTAGTATTTTTACTCCTCCCAAGTAAGACCTTTGCAGTGCAGCAGTGACTGCTTTGTAGAGAAGAATCTCCCAGGCTGAGGTGCTCTTTTAAGACATTAGCTTAATTCTTGTTCTTGGTTTGTCCACCCAACCCCCAAGCCCGGCCCAAGATGTTCTGCTTCCTGAGATAAAACACAAAATGGCTCCCACTCCAGCCAAGCCGCTTGATGGCTGAATTTGTGCCAGCACTAAAAAGGCAGCCTGCATATGGCACTGCACCTCAGGGGAGCAACCTAGCTTAGCAGATATTTGCCCTCCGGATCCTGCTGCTGCCCTCCACACCTCAGCACCTGAGGCAAACACACACTTTGCCTCCTTGTAGAGCTGTCCTGCCTGTTCTGCCTTCTTTGGTATGTATTTCGAGAGAAAAAGGTGACCAGAAGAATAATAACAAACAAGTTGACAATGGTGTCCTGCCTCAGATATAATGTGCTCTGAGTCTATTGAACAAGTTCTTCTCTCTCCAGTGGATAGGATTATTATTTCTTTAAATATAAGCTTTGCAAATAATTAAAAGTACCCTGTACAAAATAAATAAAAAATAAACAATGTTCCTAAGCTTCAGGTTTGGAAAGAGCACATATCAAAGAGAGGGGAAGTTGCATGAAGTCAAGGGACAACATAAGCAAAACCAATTAATCTCTTGCCACAGCTGTTTGGCAGATTCCCATCTGCTACTAAGAACATCACTGGAAAAGATTCAGGGACATTCAGGCCACTTAGCCTTTCGTCCCTGATTATCTGCCTTGTTAAACTTTGTGAACTACAGGTTCTGGAATCTCCAGCCATTTCCTTCCTCTTGGCTGCATTTCCATCATGACCACTGTGTTACTAAAGTCCAACACTGTGAGCATCAAAGAAAAGCTGAGCTTTAGAAAGGGTCCCATTGACTCATCCTGATCACTTTGAATCATTAAATGAAAGGGCATGTATTACTGAAGTCTTCCCCAGCCTGGGGCACATGCCGACTGGGCATCGTGGGAGTTGTAGTCCAGCATATTTGGAAGAGACCAGATTGGGGAAGGCTGTGTTATGGAAGCATCTCTTGCATCCAGGTCAGTGTTCAGAAGCTTGGGAGGTATTTCCCCCACTACCGCTCACAAAAAACAAGCTGTTACATGCCAAGTGGCTGCCTTAGGCAGACACCACACCTTGGGAGCTTGGACCAGTGCTAGAGCAGCTATAGCTACAGATATACAGTGTACCTCAGCAGCAAAGCAGTACAGTCCAAGCCCCAGAAGTGTCAGCTGCAAAGATTGAGGGATGCCCAGAGAAAAGTACACTGCCCTAGCAGTCAGATCAGACAACCACAGCAGCATTGTGCATTCACTTCTTTTAGCCCCAGTCTTTCTTCTCCAAGGAAGCCAGGGGCTGGATGGCTTGTTAGGAGCTACTCAAAAGTGATGCTGATCCCAGGGTGCTGATCTTCTAGTCTTCAAGGGGCATCCTTTCCTGCTCCCTAGAAGTTCACAGATCTCATCCATTGGTCTTGCACAGGCTTCTAGCTTCTCAGCCAGTTTCTGCACTTTGGCTTTAAGCACAGCCTGGCCTACTTTAGTTCCCTCTTCTGTATACTCTGGGACCAGGAAGCCATGAGAGCCACAGAAGACCATGAAGCAGATGGAATTATACAATGCGAATGAAGCAGTCTTCTCAGCCGGCAACAAAGTGGGGTCCATTGGCCCCTGACTGTGGTGTAAGAACTCCAGGCTGTTCAGGATTTCCCTCATCTGACTGTGACAGGCCACCGCAATCTCCCTGACCCTTCTCAGCTCCCTGGAATTAAAGGACACCAGAGAGAGGTCCGAAGTCACAGTAACAGCCCCTCCTGCAGCTGCTACTCCCAACCCCACACCAGAAGCCAAAAGCGATGCCCCTAAAGTAGCAGGGCTCAAGGACAGCCCCACAATGGCTGTGATGGCTCCTGCTGCACTTAAGGAGCTCCCGGTGAGATAGGCAATCAGGGAGCGCCGGTGCAGCTTGTTGATTCGCCGTGAGATCTCATGGAGCTTCTTGATCTGGTCACGGAGCCTGCTTCTCTGGTCCAGGAGTACATCTCGGAAGCGATGTGTCGGATCATAACAGTGGAGAGAAATATTGTTTTCCATACTCTTGATGGGAGGCAGAACAAAAGAAGGGAAAGCATTTAGAAAGACAATCACACACTCTGACCACCAGACCTATAGATGTATCAGAACACTTACTCTATAATATGCACTAATATAAGTAGATATAAATAGGCTAAGCACCAATGATTTCTTTTAGCAGATCCCATAAAACTTTGCCTCTGACTTTTCTCTGCTGATCTTAGTTAAATGTGAGGGAATAAACCAGTGGATCATGAGCACCTCCCTGTTTTTTTATGCACCCAAGCTCTTTAATGGGGCTTTGCTGCAAGAGACTGCCATGGCAAGCCCTCTGGGATGGTTCCAAAAGACTTTATATCCTCCTTATGGAAAACTGCATGGGTAACTCTTTTATGGCTTTATTCCATAGCCATGGGGCAACAGCACTCCTCAATAAAACCCCAAAAAGAGAAACATATATCCATAATCAACAGTAATTTTGCTCTTTTTAAAGATCTTGGTTTGGACATGCAAGCCTCTCTTAATGTTTTCCAGACTTCCACAGCCCAGTGCCTTCCAGATGTTTTCAATTCCAGCCAGCCCATCTAACAAGGCCAATAGTCAGGAATCCTGGGAATTGTCACCCAAAATGTCTGGAGGGCACCAGGTTGGGGAAGGTTTGTTTCTGCAGGACTTGGAAATGTAGTTCATCTCATCAGTATCTTAGTGTGCAGGTTACATATATTTATTTCTTTTGTCATGTGAGGAAGCCCATTATCACTCCTTTCTCCTGCCCCACCCCCAAATCCTGAGATCCTAAAACCACCCAGCAATGTCACAGTGAAGGAAAGAGCCCAGGACTTCTTGGATTGGGTCCAATATTCAGTGTGCACCTGTAGTAACACAGTGGGTGGAGGATTTAATAGAACTTTCCATTTTTGCTTGTATGGCCTTTAGGCATAACTTGCAAATGGATAAATATATGGCTATTTGAGGTGCCTTTGTCAAAGTATATGCATAATTATTTTTACGAATGATAGGATGACCAGCTATATGCTTACATATAGGGATACATAATGTGCATGTAACCAGTGCTATTACTCTTTTTCTTTTTTATTGTTCAACATTTTAATTTCTTTTTGCTTTTTTATAAACTATTATGGAGTCCCCTTTTATTGTAACTAGGAAAGGTGGAAGTTCTGTATCTTAAAAATATTGGCTATGAAGCCTGAAGACAGCTGGCAAAATCCACAAGCAAAATCAGGGCTCAGATTTGAAGCCATCATTTATCTGAGGTGTGGGACACAGTCCACTGGAAAGTTGATTTCAGTGGGGCTTACATAAGTGAACTCTCTGGTGCATTGTGTCATATGCTCTTTAGTGTGATGTAAGGTGAAGGGGAGGGACATTTTGAAATGTTCGATATCAGACTGAAAAGCATAGAGTTTCTTTCCAGTTCTAATCATTCCTCCCCCATACTGGTTGGGGCAGGCTGGGAGTTGTCTAACCTTATGTAGGTTTGCACCCCTGTACAATTTTATGACAAATATTCATGGACTGACTAGGACTGCAATCCTATTCACCCAGTGGGGCTTCCTTCTGTGACCATATGCCTAGGATCACAGTGTAAAGATTTCCTGCAATAGTAGATAATGGACTTCCAAAAATTATAAAGCCAAGTTTCAACATTCCCCAATGAACTAATTTGTATCTTTTAGACATATCCCCTGAGTTTAACCATTTTTATTTTTAACATATCATGGCCTGACTCACACAACATCAAGGTGAATTAATATTGTTGACCCACATGTGTTCTGGTCACCCAGAACCCCTGGCCTGTCGTAGAGTCATGAGCCGGTTCAAGCCACCTTTGCTGATTTGGACAATGCCCCAGGAGAGAGAAAGAATAATGCTCAGATAAATTCACATGCACACACTGCACAGTGTGACCAAAAGAAGTCTCCCTGCAAGCAAGATGCTTAAAGCTTGTTAGCAAGGCCATATAATCAAATATGCAAAATCCTCATTTGTGAAATTTGACTTATTTGATCATTTTTAAATTTCAATTACTTGAATTCCACAGATTAACCTTTTTCCTCTTTTAACCCGAACATTTTGTCACTCTTTGACATGAAGACCATGGAGTCATTTTCTCTGTCTTTACCTAGTTTGTATTATAAAGCAGTTATATTGCTTTATAATACATTGCTTTATATTTGCTAATATTGCTTTATAATATATATAAATTTGAGACCTGCTGTTGAAACTCTGATTCTGTGGTCACTACTGTTAATATTATTAAATATTAAATCCCAAGAAATAAAAGGTTTCAGAAAACTTTCCTTAGAAAAAGCCTTTTATCTTCTGCCTTTCTGGTTCAGTCCAGTCTTACACAACCTAGTGTCCAGAATGTGTTGGACTGCCTTCTCATCATCCCCAGCCACCTGATGCCACTGGCCATGCTGGCTGGGAATGAAGAAAGGTACAATCTGATAGGCTGGGAAAGGCTAGTTTAGTATATTGTCTGTCTTTGGAGTTAGAGCATTTCAGTGGTGAACATAAAACTAAATTAAAATAAGGCAATATGACTAAACTGACTCTACTTCTAAATCAGTGCACAGTGGGATAAATATTTGGATCCCTCTTTTTAGATAAACTCTGTTATTTTTTTTTAAAGGACAGAGCAATTTCATCTTAAAGTTTTCAAAGATAAAAAAGCAATAATAATCCCACCTACCGTGGTTTTCATTTCAGAGCAATGTTCCCAAGAATGACTCTCAGGCTGTTTCTGGACAGGCCCAATTTATACTTAGCACAGCCCTATTGCCCCACTGGGATTGCTTTGCATCATACCAGGAATTTGTCGTTTCCTGATGCACACACAGCGTCTTCAGAAGGATGTGACACAGTGGAAACTGGCCATGGGGATGGTGCAGCTTTTATCATATTCAGGAAACAATCTTTGCAATTGAACATTGTGTGTTCACTTTTCCCAAACACACACACACACACACACACACAGAGTTCCTGATGCTGAGCAAATGTGGTAATCTCCCAGAGGGAATACCCTACCCTTCCTCTTCTTGAAATAAGTGGTGACATTATGCCTTATTTCTGAAAGGGGTCAGTGCCTGCCACCAGGTGACTGAATACCCACAGTCTTATACAAATGTAGGGAAAATAATGTATGATCTCAACAACGGTCCAATTGATCTGGGGTTTCTATTCTTTTGAAAATGCAATGACTAAAAAGATTTTGTTCTCTGCTTGCCTGGAACACAAAAAGGGCCAGAGAGCCACCCAACTTTCAGAAAAGCAAGTAAGTACCTGCTGTAGTCACTATCCCAATGATTTTACAGAACGATCAGAATGGACACGGATAAAGCCACATACTAGGTTTTATCTAAATCATGGTGTCAGTGTACTCATTGAAATCACTAGGATTCAAGCTAGTTATGGAGAGTTTCAGAGTGTCTGCTCAAAGATTGACAAAGTCTGGTTGCAAACTCAGATCTTTCGCTCTGGTTGTTGCCTCCATGTGAGCCTATCTGCACTGGCCTGCCACACTGAGAAGACACACCAGTGCTGGCACATATTTTACAATGGCACCATGACAAAAGGTGTTCCAATGTGTGAGGTTTCTTTCAATGGGTAGTACACTGTGCGGAGATCATCACCCTGCAGGAAAGAAGCTGATTGAAGGTCATCTAGTGCAACTTTATGCACATAGTTGAGATTATCGGTTCATTCAGTCTATCATCTCATTACAGGCCAAGACAGGCTGCCCTGTGCAGCAAGCAGGAAGAAAATGGGATGCAAAGGGTGCTTACAAAGCAACACTCCAAATGCAACAGACCTGAGCTGTATGCAAAAGAAGGGCACCTGCCTATGGAGCATACACCGCTGCCAATTGGTCAATCTAGCTCAGTAGTGGTTGGGTTCTGCTGATATGCCATACCCAAGGGTTGAGTTTGGGTAGTCTTTGAACCATGGATTGTTATTGAAATGTGGATTATTGTGTTGTCTGATCCCACAGTTCACAACCCAGCAACAAACCATGGGTTCTCTTCATGGATTGTTTGTGGTTAACATGGGAAAGAAAGGTAGAAAATAAGGAAGGCCTCAGCAACGATAGGCGGCCTATAAATATATGGGAAGGAAGGAAGGAAGGAAGGAAGGAAGGAAGATTGAATTTCCGTATGCTACTTTATATATGCTCTAAAGTCTGTTTGAGTGTGTGGCTTCAAAGGATCCTGACTCCTAAGAACACCTCCTTTGTAAAAAGCAGCATATGGACAGGGAGAGGAAGACATATGATTTTAGGGAGAGGAAACCCCTTCAGGCAAAAAGATTCACGGGCTAGGCTGGCAGCAGAAGGTGAAGCACCTGTGAGCAAAAGTCAGCTAACCCGAGGGGATCTTCAGCCTGCTAATTATTTCCATTAGTCCAAGACTGCTAACAGCACCACTGTGTTCTGGCTTTCCCACAGTGCACCTCATTCTGCAGACACCTGCCCAGCTAATTGCTACTGGGCCGTTGCACTTGCACCTTGAGCCATTCTTGAGCCAGCTCCCTGACTAAGCAGGAGGCATCCTCAACTGGAACACCAGGATCAGGGCTGATGAGGCTGGACAGAGAACTGGCAAGATTAGCAGGGCCAGAGGCCAAGCCAAAGGCAAGAACAAGCAAGGGTTATATACCAACAAGGTGTGGCAGGGCCACAGACAGAGTCCAGAACAGGTGAGAATCAAAACACAAGCGAAGACATGGCAGGACTAGGGGCAGATGCCAAATCGGAACTAGAGAGCAGCCACCCCTCTTGTTGTGGCCAAGCTGAGCACTGCTGGGAAACCTTTGGTAGAGCCTCCTGTGGTTCTGAGGTGGTCTGTAGGATTACACGGATCCTCCTCTTGCTGGCACCTACAATTCTGCTGCCAGACCTACACTTTTTCTGCCTTTTCCCTCAGGCCACCTTCCTCACTCTGCAGGTGCTGACAGTGTCCCTTAATGCATCTTACAAGACAAAACAAAAATCATACAGCACACAATGCAACCCTAACATAGAGCCCACTGAAAAGAATAAAACTACAGATTTCTTAAGGCATATTTATTTTATATTGTTAATTTTATATTTTTATTTTTGTATTTTATTGTGTTGTAAGCTGCCCCGAGGCTTCGGCAAGGGGCGGCATAGAAATGTTTTAATAAATAAATAAATAAATAAAATTGTCTGTCAGGTACACAGAAATTTTACCCACACTGCATGGGTAACACTCCCAGGGTTGTTATCAGGTTGTGCTGACCTGCCTATTGTAAGCAACCAGCCACGGTGGGTTATCAAGTCATCCAAACCCAGACTACTTCTGGAAGGGGTGGCTTGCTTTTTCCAAATGCACCACCCTGAGACACCATGGGTAGTTTGAGGGGTTGTAGTTATGGTGGGATTATTATATTCTCTGAACTCAGTGGTCAAAGGAAAGTGGCAATAAGGGGGAGGGAACTCGTATGGATCAGAACATGTTTTCCTGCCTAAACATGCACAGGATTGCACCTTTCATCACCTAGCAAGAACCTAGTAAGGAACAAGGATATCTTTTTTGCATTTGTTCATGCAACACTCTCTCTCCACAATTACATGCACACGATCTGAGTGTATATGTGGTTGGTGTAGAAGATGATGAAGGTCTCTAAAGCATGCTGCCTCACAAGCAAATTCCAGACATCCAGGCAGAAGGCACAAGTTTGTGTTAGAATTTTATGAATCTCAGCTTTCTTTTACCAAACAAAAAGTTTCTAGTCCCTTAATATAATTATAGAAACACAGTACTTTTAAAGATTACAATCTTCCACCAGACGAATAAACAGAAAATTAAAAAATAGTTTTATGATTATTCATAGGACTCTTTTATTTATTTTTTTAAATTGATGATTAGAGGATTTTCAATATAAAAGTATTCATATTGCTGTTAATGGTTCTGCAATATGAGTAATTACAGATGAAGTGCAAGGCATCTTAGACTGTAGGCTAATAGTTTGCTTGCTTGTTTTGCATCACAGCAAGATAATAAGCACTCCCGTGCACACTGATGGCCATAACCTCATGGGTTATTAGTCCTTAGATAATACCATCACATTCCCTGTAATTTTGTATGATAAAATTTTCCAGTCGAAGATGTTTCCTCTGGGAAACTGACGGGCCTGGAACACTTCCTGTATATCATGAGATTTCAGCACATAATCCCACATGTGCAGATCTGTTATTTCTCCCAGAAAACGTTGCTCCTGCTGTTCAGATATTCTTTTTGCACCTTGATCCTGTCCAAGCATCGTGGTGCCCCCCGATTGAAGAATATGGCCCATGCAATGGACCTTCCAGATACTCCTTTTCCCATCCATCCAAAAGGCTGTGAGGCCAAGCTCAGATGCCCACGTCACACAGATGTGACTCCCCAACGTGCTGAGATCAGGGAGAGCAAACATCACACTCCGACCCCCCATGTGGAAACCAAAACAGCCCTTTGCTTCACGCACGATCCTCAGATGATCACTCTGAGAGTAGTAGGAGAAGAGAATGACTTTACGTTCACCCAAATCCTCTGCTGCAACCCTCATGCACAGTGTGAATTCCATCAGATTCAAAGCTTGCATTGGGGATATGACAACAAAGCTGTTCTTCGATTCATTCAGAAAACTCAGGACTCTTCCCTGCAAACCTAAAAGAGACCTCATCATCAGGAGCTTTCCAAGAAACCCACTGCTGAGCGCAGTAAAAACATAGGTGTTCCCCATTTTGAATGTGGAGTTGCATCTTGGGCCTTCTGCAATCTTCCTCTAGCTGGTGTCCTCCAGATGTTTTGGACTACAACCCCCATCATATTGAACCAGCATGGCCAATTGTTAGGAAAAGTGGAAAATATAGTCCAAAACATCTGGAGGGCGCCAAGCTAGGGAAGACTGCCCTGCTGTAGCTCAACCTGTAACAAAACCTAAACATATCTAAATGGAACAAATGCATATAGCTCCTTGTTTACCTCTGTCTCCAGTTCCCCTTCTTCCCTTTCCCATATTGTTTCCCCTATGTCCAAGTTTAGATTGTAAGCCCTTCAGGACAGGGGCCTATAAAAAGAATCACATACACTAATGATACTGCATTAATTATCATATTGTATGAACTCTACCAGAAACATGGAGATGAAGTTACTAAGGATCAACAGGTGGTATCCTGAACTTTCCTAGTGTCCAAAAGCCAGGATGGCTTTTTGAAGGCGTGCCAAAGCCTTGTGGCCTTCAGCATCTTAAGAAGAGCACCAGAGATAATTGCCTTGGAGCTGCATTCCCCAATCATTCTGTAGAAAAGAACTGTTTTTGCTGAAAGAAGGAAACTGTTTGCCCTACTGAAGCAGCTTCTCTCCCACCTCCCAGGAAGTGGGAATTAGAGCCTATATGTACTGATAACTTCTGAAACAGCAAGAGAGAAAAACTTTATAAAATCCATGGCAAGAGAGATTGTCTTTTGTTCTTGACTTGAGGAGAGGAATGGATGCATCCCTTGCCAAGGGAACTCTGGAGGCCCAGAGAGGATTCCCTGGCCCATTCAGGGAACCAGTATGGCCACAGAGAAAGGTGTGTGGGTTTACTTTTGCTAGTTAATATTCTGCATCCAAATTTCTTCCCTGTATACAATAAACTGTATATCACCTTTGACACAGCCAATTTCATTTTGTTCGGAAGTATCCTCAAACCTGAGGCGAGGTGCCTTGCTAGGAGCAGGCCCCTGGGGCTAAAACACCATGGCCACCATGTCTCCATGCCAGGCTTTTGCTGCAAGCAGTGCTTCCTACCAGCAGGGCACCAATCAAGCTGGATTGGCTCAGAGATACAACGGGCACTACCCCACCCAGGGCTCCTATAGTGAGCCACTCACACATACCGGGCAGCAAGTCTGGGACTTTGCCATGTGAAAGGGGCTGGGTAAAACTGAAAGAAAATACCTGACATGCATTATATACCCTAATGTAGCCATTACCCCCAGAACCTGTGTTGAGAAATGATGCCTTAGAATAGGCAAGCCCATTTGGGAATGGGGAAGAAATAAAAGCAGCAGCAACCCTCCAAAACATCAAGGAGGAGATTTAAAATAAACAAAAAACAATATGCAGCACAACGGAACACATACCTACATCAGTTTCACTGTCCCTCACAGGATTCTGCCCTCTGTCATGAACTGCAAAAAATGAAATGTCTGAGTTTCTCATACTGATGAAAGAAAGATTTATATATCAATGAATCTGCGTTGTAAGACAGTGGGAAGGGGGAGAGTGCAGTTCCTTAGAAAGTATGACTGTGGAGGCAGAAGAAACCCTGCTCTCCCACCAGCCATGAAATGGATGACATGATGATCTGAGAAGAAGCCAAACTACTCTGTTCTGCATCTCTCCAATCTACATTGAATTGCTGCTGAAATAAATAAAGGGAAGGGAAGGGAAGGGAAGGGATTCGGCTTAATGTTCCTTTTGTGCAATCACAGGAGATGGTTGAAAACATTCTGCTCTTTTTATCCTCTAATGCCAATGTTCTTTCCAGAAGCACCAGTCTCCAAAAACTCAGTCATGTAGCAATGGTCAAGACTTGATCGGAATGTTCAGTTCATTTGGAGATGGCATATGTCACAGTGGGCAGTATGATTTACCAACAGGCTGCTAACTTTGAAGAACCTGGGCAGAAAATTATTGTTGGGTTCTGAACTCTGGGCTGTCTGCCTTAGCAACCCACAGTTAAACCTTAGTACAATATTTGCATGTAACTACAATCCATGATTCAGTAACCCACAGAATACATTCCTTACTTAGTCCTTACCCTGGGTTGTCACTGCATGAAAAACCAGCCATAGTCATTCAAAATTTTAGAAGTATGCTGATATCTCATTTTCCTCAGTAACTGAAAACAGTTGAACTAATATATTCTGTGGGAGGAGTGTCATTATCACTAACAAACAGCTAAGGTAGTTTAAACACTATATTCAGATTAAGTCAAAGGTTTGCTTGGAAAGCATTTCTACTGGCATATTTGTAAATATTTTTCAGACTTGACAGCTCAATAGTATTCATTCACACACACACAAACACCCCTCCCTATCTTTCATTGTTTAGGAATACAGAACTACTTCCTTCCCCAAAGAAGTTCTGTTCTGTTTCAGAACAGCTGAAACGGAGAGTCGCACATTCTTGTATGGGGTGGGGCTGAACTGAAGGCAAAATGGGCAGGGACAAAAACAAAACAAAAACCTATCGGCATATTTGAACTTAAAGCTCCTATTGTGCCAGGCATTTCAACCCTTTAGAATGCACAAAACCAGGGCTTTTTTTGTCATAGAACGCACTGAAATGGCCTTCCGGCACCTTTTTTGACGGATTCTTCCAAGTGATTGTGAATCGTCCTGTTGGGCGTAGCAGATCGGCGGCAGAAATCATTAACATAGTGCCTGCGGGCTGCTTGTGTGTCGGCGCTGATTGTGAGGGCGCTGCTCGGCTTGGGATCGGTCGTGCGCTGACTCAGCCTGCGGCGACCATTGTGTAAAAGTGTGACCCCAAGACGTGAGTTCCGGCACCTTTTTTTTTTTTTACAAAAAAAGCACTGCACAAAACTCAGGAAACATTTGAACTATCAGTGATGAGGGGAAGGGGCACTGAAAATGATTACCATACTACTTCTGAAATGTCTGAAGAAAGGACTTTGTGTTGTCCAAACATAGGTAAAATTGTGCCATAAATATGACGTCGTATGTCCCAAAAGTCAAATGTGTGAATCCTCTGTTTAGAAAAATATTTATTTGATGTAGCCATTCATCAAATCAAAGGGCACATGTGTCCTGGGGAGAGTCGTTTTGTTTCATGGTTTAAAGGTCAAACAGTAGTAAGGATAAGCCCTCTTAAGTGCTGGTGCTGGAGAATTATTTCAGAGCACTCGAAGAGCCTATCAAGAGAGAACCACAAGATGGCAGCATTAAATGGCAAATGAGGGAACGAACACGATGGAGCAAGCTTTAGGAAGACTCTGAAGTACTTACATGCATATTCCTCTGGAACCAAGATCAGTCCCAGGGATGAAGAAAATTCCTCCTGAATCGCTCTTGTCAAATGGTCCCGGATCTTCTACAGTCTTCATTTGTTTATAACACTTAGTGCCTGAGACACTGGCTTTCAATGGGTAAGTCCAGATCCACAAGTTGTGCCCAGCAGCATGTCACTAAGCACACACAAGTGTCATGCCAATTCAAACCCCCAGCCCCTACCCCAGCATTGAAAATGATACCGCTTCGGCTTGCTGAAAAATTATTGACTCTGTACGGGCTTGGTCTCCTTTTCCACCAACAGAAATAGAGCAAAAGACTAAATGGTTTGTGCTGATCAAAACTGAGTGTGTTGGAGAAAGATGCTTCATTTACCTAGAATACTAACTGCATCTAACTGCATTCATCAACACACTAACTACAGGCAGTGTATGCCAGACAAATGGAAGCAACCAGCATGCCAGCTAAACCCATTCATAGATTCAGCTCTATTTTTGTTACATTAGGCCAGCCTTTTCCAACCCAGCACCCTTCAGATGTTCTGGACTATGATGCCCAACATTCCTCATCATTAGCCCTGCTGACTGGAGCTGATGGGAGCTGAAGTACAAAACATCCTGAGGGCACCAAGTTGGGGAAGGCTGCATTAGACATAGTACCAGTATGTACAGTATGAAAGTAAGCACCTTTCACCTGTGCACAGCACCCTATTTATATCCCACACTGCCTGTTCCTTGGAGAGCTCAGCCAAACAGCAGGATCACCCAGGTTCACCTAAGAGATTCATTCATTCATTCATTCAACTCATATCCTGTTATAATTAGTTCAAAGACTCTCTAAGCAGATTACAACAATTGTGATAACAGAAGGCCTTTAGATAGTCAATGAGTTGGTCCATCAGCTAAAGACAAACACAACCCCTCGCTGCACACACAAATACCACATTATTTGGGGTGTAGAACCTCTACTCACCTATGTGAAGCCATGGGTGTGCGAGTACTTGCACTTCACAGAGAGAGAGGAACTCGTTTCTCCCAGGGATTGTAATGGTCACATACTGCCCTTGCATCCCTGCACAGTTGAAGGACACGGTCTCCCCAGGCCCCATGCTGGTGATTGTAGCACACCTGCCAAGGAACTTGATTGTTACTCAGCTGCATATTAGCAGAACACAGCAGGTGTAGCAAGACCCACACTGGTGTGTCTGAAGCCCACTTATGCTGCAAGGGCCCGACCATTTCATAAGGGAATAGAGCACACACCAACTCTTAGCCACAGACCTCAGCACAGATGGTTCCAAAGCACTGTGTACATGGGACCCAATGCAGTGCTGAAGAGAGTGTTGGAGTGAGACTCGAGAGATCCAGGTTCTAAGTCCCCACTTAGCCATGAAGCTCAGCGGGTGAGTTTGGACCAGCCACTGCCTCTCAGCCTAACCAAACTCCCAGGGCTGCAGTGAGCATGAAATGGAGAAGTGGAGAACTTTCTAAGGTGCCACGGAATCCTTGCAGGAAAAAAGCAGAATCTCAATGTAACAATAAATAAATAAATAAATAAATAAATAAATAAATAAATAACAAAAATATACTAAAAGTGGTTACCATTTTCGAAGTGCTGGTCCTTCTGTAGGCAAAATGGTACCACCCCTTGAAAGAGGGAGGTATTAGTATACTCAGGGGAATCCAGAACTTTGCAGAAGTAAAGAAAATGTTTAGAGGAGGGAATTACTAATGGTTAAAAAAACAAACAAACCTGCACCACACACACATACCAGCACAATGAGGTTTGCTGAGCTTTGGATGAAATTTCAGGAGGTTCCGCACTTACCCAGACTGAGGTGTCTTAGAAATGCCAATTGATGTTAATGTTTATCCCATTTATACCCTGCTTTTCAGCTTTTGGAGAGCGGGGCAGGGGAGCATAAAATTCAAATCTTTATGGAAGTACAATACCATGAAGAACGATTATCTGCCCAGGATGGGCCTTCTCTTGGGCCCCAGCAGCCACTGATACTGTTCAGGTTCTAGGCTTCTCATTCCAAACAGAAGGGACAAAAGGAGATGCAGAGGAAATAAGAGGCTGGCTGATCGTATGCTTATTTTCCCCAGATTGCTCATTGGGCTTTCTGACTGGGGATGATGAGCACTGTCGTCCAAAACACCTAGAGAGTATCAGACTGGCAAGGGTTCTTACTATGGTCACAAATTCTGGGTTTCCGGCAGACCTGTGTGAAAGCAGATGTCACTGAAAATCATAAGGAATTTCTGTAGGATGACTCTAAGGTCTGGGATCAGGTCCCACTCAGTTGCAGAGGACTTAATTCCATGCATGGTAGGTTCAGGTTGCATATGGCCATTATTAGTCTTCCATCACAGCAGACACATACCTGGGATTCATCGTGCCTCCCTTAAGTGGCAAATCTCCGATCAAAATCTCAGCTCCTTTGATCCGTGATTCACAACAGTCTCCTCTGTTGGTGATCACCACAGCAGATACCTGAAATGCTGAAACTAAGTCCACCATCCACCAGGGCTCAAACTCCTTCTTCGTCAGAGTGCAGTCTCCTTTCACATAACTACTTGCCAGGGACCCATCGATGGCTTTCCTTGCTGCCCCCTTTTCTTCGTACGTGCTCGATTGGGATGATATTTTCCCCACTGCTCTGTTTGGATCTAGAGGGGATGTGGAGAAGAAGGCATTTTTATTGCGCAAAAAAAGGAGCACACACACACAGACCAACAAAGGCATCAAAGTGCCACATCAGTCAACAGTCTGCCTAGCTTACCAATTAGTCCTGGCAGCAGCTAAAAATAGATTCCATGGAAGCCAACAATGCAGGGCAAAACAGTAATATTCATGCCTTCTGACTTACCTTCAACATTTGGTATTTAAAAGGTTTATTGTCTCTGAATGTATAAGCAGCACAGCTAGTTAGTAGCACATTTAATCCTTGAAAAAGATCTGTTTATATTAGTGTGACCTTCTGGATATTTGAACTACAATTCCCAGTATTCCTGAACAGGAACTATACATTTGGAGAGAACCAGGTTAGGAAAGGTTGTGCCTATGAAGTCTGGGGCTAATGGGAATTGTAAGCCAAAATATCTCGAGGAGCCCAAATGAAGAGCTCCTGAACATGGGACATTGCTACTCAGGAGGAAAGTTGAAGGCAGGCATGAAAGATGGAAAGTTCTTATGTATTTACATGTCAACTCAGTTAAATGGGATAAAAAGGAATTTCAGTTTAAATGTATCACACATGCAAGGATTTGAAATTCACCTCCAACTGGGATTATTGAAGCCTCTGCAATGGCAATATTGCCAGTACTACCTGGAAAAAAAAAAAACAACATGCCTGTTAGTTGAAAGGAACATGCCAGAAGACAGATGAAATCATGCACAGCATCAACATCATCTGATCAGCCTGTTTTGTCACATTTAGTACAAGTCCATGTACCATGAAAGAGCTATGAAGAAAAATCAATTCTAGGGAAGTGTAACATTTCTGAAAATCAATAGCCGTACTTGCAAAGCCAAAGTACCTGGGCCCATTTTAGACCTATCACTATGCAAACAAATCACTTCCAATCCAAAATATGAATCTTAACTAGGTTTTGGGTTGCTCTCTGTTCCAGTCCCGTACTACCCGAATGGCCCATGAGGTTCAAATGTTACTCTTTGCTGCCCAGTCGTGTGTATTTCTCATAAAAGTGACCTCTAACAGGCAATTTAGGAGTAAAGCCTAATTTGTCCCACAACATGATCATGAGACTGTACTACTTACATTTATATATGATGAGCCAATGCAGGGTGATGAGAGCCAGAATTGCAATGTTGTGTACCATGTTCCTTTTTTCACCTGCCCTTTCAGATTCTCTACAGGATTTTCAGCATCTTTGCCACAGTCTCCAAAAGGATTTTTCCTTCTTATTCCTCCATGCAGAGAAACTCCTGGCTCAGGCAGCTCCTGGAAACTTTGAAAACCCACACATTTGCTCAAGCCCTGTCTTATATATGCTGCCCTAGAGCCGGGAAGGCTTTGAGCAGTGGGGCAGTTCTTGGGCACAGCATTGATCTGGCAAGATAAAGGGCTAATGAGTCTGCAATGTAACTGACTTAATGATGAGCCAGAGCATGGTAATAGTTTATTTGTGGGTTTAAGTGCAATAGATACCACTTTATACATCAGAATAAAATGGGGGGCAGGATTCACTTGTACACTTAAAGATGCTATGCGGATTGTTTATTTCCTAAAATGTTCTGATACAATATAATTCTGTCAGGAAAGGGGAAGCCTGTAAATATCAATCACAATTAATTTTTTGGTAGCCCTGTCCATTCCAAAGCATCTTGAAAAGCTCACCGTTTCTACCCCTGTGCAGAAATCAGTAAACGTTTGTCCAAGGTCTGCGTAACTCAGCCTATCTGCCCAAGCTACTTAAGCTGAAATCTTAAGATCTGGGGCCAGCCAGAACAGACAGTTGCCTAGGGTGGCACAATCTAGTCGCCATCCATTATGTCAGTTCCCCGCATGAACAGAATGCACTCTAGAAGTCTCAGCAACATAGCAGGGTGTTCTAGACTTCATCAGCAAGTTGCATGGATACACTCCCTGCTCCACTCTGGCTAAGGTGAAAAAATGGCCCTACTTCAGTTTCAATCAATTTTGTTTCCTCTTGCAGGCCTATCGATGGATCAAGCTGGTTCAGGGAAGGCTTTACTCAGCATGGGCAAAAGTAGCAAGGAATAGACTATACTATGGAGCTCTAGAAACTAATGTCTAATCTCTAGCTCAGGACTGTGTCTCTGGAAGCTAGTGGTTCTTCCTGCAAATCCCTCATTTATAATTCTATAAGGGATAGGACAACTAGAATGCCAAAAGATCATTGCATCAGAGAATACATAAGGGGATGCTGGGCAGGAAAGGGGAATGGATCAGGGTACATTTTTCAGAAGTGTCCCACCTTGCACCAGAGAGGAGCTAATGATCACTCTCAATTCCCTAAGTTTAATTGTCTGAATGAAGCGCTTGCCAAAGCCCAGACCTGGTTCAGCCTCGGTCTTCCCCTGCCCCCGCCCATCACCACCACACACAAGGGGAAGGCTGGCCAACAAATTCTGCAGTGTGTTGCATTTTAGTTTCCACCCGGCCAACTTGGAAGCAGTAGCAACACTTCTACCTATTGCCTTATGTGATGATACAGGCATCATTGTGGTGCTTTCTCAAACCATGTTGAGCACAGTCTGATCAGAGGTAGTTGCGCATTGCTTCTGGCATGGCTTAGACCCACATTAAGACCAGATTTCCACATAGAGAAAATATGCCACAGTAGCTGATCTCCCCTACCCACATGTGCCAGTCACAAGCTGCATAATTGGCATGATTATCCTTGCCAGACAAGGAAGGGGGCTGGCTGAGGTGGTTTACAAATCACTCAGCAACCCTAGAACAAGCCATGAGTGTCAGAATGGCTTGTAAGCCCCTTTGGCACCCAGCCATACTGGGTTCAAACGGCATGACAACCCATGCCCAGCAAGAGTCATTATTCCAATTCAGTCGCTTGCAACAAGCCCGTGCAGGAAGGGAAAATAGGCCATTGTGGTTGACTTTCTCTCCATGATTGTGCAGGCCTGGTCTTAATGAGCACCCCTGTGAGTGTGAGGAAAGTCCCCAAGGGCTGTCTCAGTTCACAGTCCACGCACACCCGCACTTGAGTGCTCTTAGAGACTCCTGGGGGATTCCTTGGGAAAGACCCACAGAAACCGCTTCCAGCCTGAAGGCCACTTCTTCATTGCAGGGCTGAATGCCAGCGCCGAATTAGGGAAAACCCACTTCACAGGCTTAACGCTCATTCACACTCGTACTCCCCTTCTCCTTCTCAGTTTCTTTTCAGCTACCCCATAGACATGAACCAAACTGGCATCTTTTGTTAAAGAACATGCTGACTCTCTGCTTGTGGCATGCAATGCTCATCAGGATTAAGAATGAAGTGTGCGGTTCAAGTGTGGCTTAACCACAGATCTTACACTTGAGATATATGAAAGGACGGAGGGGTTGCTTCAGCTGGGCTGGTCTTTAGACATTCACACATAGTGGGATTGCTGCCCAGCTGCCTTCTTAAACACCAGTATGGAGCACAGCTGTTGTCTTTGTTCAATGATCAAAGGATGCAAAGCCACTCTTAATGTATTAGGTATTAACTGTCTAAGGAAACTTGGGTTATATCATGTGAGTACTAGATGTGAGTCACAGACTCTTTATTTTTATGGGCCATTAGGAAAAGTTAACTACCTAGGAAGCTGGAACTGAATTTCCCACAGCAGGAGGTGACACATTCTCCATCCCTATACTTCTAAACCCAGATGACACCGGGCAGTGTACATGCACACATGCATGCAGCTGGGGTAACATATACCTCCCGTGCCTGAGTGGCGAGAGACACAATGGTTAGTGTCTGACAGGGACTGGGAAGATCCAGGTTCAAATCCCTTCTTGGTCGTCAAGCTTATTGGGCAACCTTGAATGAGTAACTCTAGCTCAGCTTAAACCTACTTCATAGGGTAATTGTGAAGATAAAATGGGAAGAGAACCCTGCATGACACTTTGAGCTTCTTGCGAAAAAGGGGGAACTAAATGTTTATTACGCCTATTATTTTTGCAGCAAGTGTCAAATCATTCAATTTTTTCATTACATAGCTTTATGTACACTAGCCTTCCTTTCAATAAAGCTAAGGGCACTTGGGATGACTGAATGTGTTCAACGTTTACGACCTTGTCAGCTCTGAAAACATGGCCATTTCCTGTCTACACGCAAGGCACTGTGCCGTAGGTTGTCCACCCATGTTCCTGGCAGCTTCAAGCTAGCAAGCAGGGGTTAACAGCCTGGACAAAGTGATGGTCACACCATTTTTCTGCAAGGCTACTTTGAGCTTCCCTGACACACATATTATTATTATTATTATCATCATCATTTATCGATTTATATCCTGCCTTTTTCCTACAAAGGGCTCAAGGCAGCTTACATCATTCTCCTCCTCCATCTTATCCCCACAACAGCAACCCTGTGAGGTAGGTTGGGCTGAGAGTCTGTGACTGGCCCAACGTCACCCAGTTGGCTCCATGGCTGAGCAGGGACTCGAACCCAGATCGTCTGAGTCCCAGTCCCATGCTCTTAACCACTACGCCACACTGGCGTAACACATATTCCTCTCATATACACTCTATTCAGCTATTCATACAGGTTAAGTGTTCTAATACGAGTATTCTAATACAGGGAACTGTATCAAAAGCTTTGACGGTGAAACATTGTTCATGAAAAATAGGATGCCATGCATTGAAGTAGTAATGCAGCAAACAATGAGTTACACAATTTCTTTCTAATGCCAGACAAAGTCCTGGGATATGTTAATGACTGCCTCAGCAAAGGCGGGCATGTCCTGAGCGGAGCCGGGGGTCAGACTAGATGGCCTAGGAGACCCCTTCTGACTCACTCTGTTTCTATGTATCTGATTAGGGGAGGACTCCACAATCATGTATTCTGGTGGGCTAAGTCTCCTTACATGAATCCCCCCTCCCCCAGCTGCACCTGCAAAGTTGGCCTGCTCCCAGCAACCCACAGCAACAGGTGTCACCAATTTAGTGCTTGGGAATAAAAGCAGTTATTAAATAAAAATAAAATAAAATCCAGTGGGAGGCTTGCCACAAATGGGGAGACCGCAACATCAACACCTGCCCTATCAGGATGTGAGCCCACTGGCACCTGTCCAAGCATGCCAGGTATGGGCACCTGGCTTGTTCCTTATCACAGGAACATATCTTCATATTTATCTCAAACATCATGCACCGTGCACACAGGTGCAGGAAGTTTGTGGCTTCCTCAGGCCTCCCAATTTCTTTTTTCAGCATGACAGTGTAATGAAAGTTATGTGCAAGGAGGCAACAGGAGGCCTCCTCCAGCCATCTGTCATATGTAGCAGTACACCCATTTCTGGACAGAACACTGAGGTCGTGAAAGAAAGCAAGGAACAAGAGACTGTGCAGAGCATTTTGAAAGCACCCTGTAAGAGAACCAAGTTACCACTTTTTTTCTTGTGAGAAGGGCCATCATAAAAGGTATATACTTATTCAGGGTGAGAGTAATATCTGTTTTTCTGCCCATTCATAAAGGTTCTTTCCAGGGATGTAATCAAAATCTCTCAGATCGATCTCTCTACACACACACACACACACACGGCGTGGGGAGAGAAGAGAACGAACTCATTCTCCAAAGAGCCTTAGCGAACCAAGAAAACAGCTCCATCCATGCACAAACGGGTGATCATCATCAAATTAAGAGAGCAGGATTATAGATTTGAAGAACCCCCTCCCCCCCCCAAAAAGAACAAACAAAAAAAAACACCCGGGAAAAAGGAGAATCCGGTTCAATGATTTAGGCTTAAAGGATGAAAAAAAAAAAAAGGCACTTCCTGGAAAGGACACGGCATGCTGATTTAACGGAAAGAACATGAAAATTTTAGCAGGGAGACGCCATACACTGGTAGCTATAAAGAGTGCAAATTTACTGCGCGAGTGCCTGACGGCAAGCCCCTGTACGAAGACCTTCCCAAACAACTGTTTCAGAAGCCCCAGGCGTAAACAAGTGATTTCCAGCTCTCTTCGGTGACCGCGTCGTTGGCTCTGAAAAGAGCCTTTGGGTTTCGTGATCGATGTTCTGAGCA